TCCTAGATGGAGTGTATCAACGTGACTGGAAAGACGCCATAGTAACCCCTATCCACAAGGTGGGATCAAGACAAAGCCCTTCAAACTACAGGCCCACTGGTGTTACCAGCACCTTAATCAAGATACTGGAAAGAATCATCAAGAAAAGTATCATGGCGTATCTGGAAGACAACAATTTGTTATCCAAAGCACAGCATGGCTTACAAGGAAACTTCTCATGTCTGTCAAATCAGCTTACTGCAAGAGAAAGCTAGGTCAAATCGAGGGACAAGAGAAGACCCGTTGACGTCATCTTCATAGACATCAACAAAGCCTTCGATAAAGTTCCACACAAAAGACTACTCATGAAGCTGGAAAGTCTTGGTATCAAAGGCAGCTTACTAAACTGATATAGATATGAGGCAGAGGATTAGGATCAACCCGAACCTCTCCTCCTAAACAGCAGTGAGTAGCGGACTGCTGAAAGGGATGGTACCCGAGCCTCTCCTATTGATTTTGTACATCAATGAGTTATCTCTGCTCACTGATCCCTCTGTTGTTCCATACTCAGATGACTTAAAAATTTGTAGAGAGTTGAAGGGAGTAAAACTCCCACCAGTTCAGACACATTTGGATTTAGGTGTCATGGTAAGTCACTATTTAAGAACTACAGCACACTTTTGGGCGATGGCTGTACGTAGTTTCAGATCCTTACGGGCAATTCACTGAGCCTCTACTAGAATCACCAGAGATGTGTTCACCTCCTAATATACATCTCTGGTGAGGTTAAGACTGGAAAACTGTATCCAAGCAGTCTCTCCTCGTCTTAAAGGGGACTCACATATTCCAGAAAGAGTTCGAAGTAAGGCAATACGTATGATTCAAGACATGAATGATCTGTCATACAAGGGACGACTAGACAGTTTAAATCTCTTCTCCCTATCATACTGCAGACAGAGAAGGGACCTAGTTACAATACTTGTCAATGGCTTCGGACCTGATCTATTTACTCCAATCCTTCCCACCAGGTCGAAACACCTTACAGGACATAGCAGGAGAGTTCAAAAGCCAAGAAGAAATCATATTGCTGTTGAGTACTGGTTCTGACATCGAGTCATAAACTCTTGTAACCGACTCCCAGAAAAAGTGGTGTCTGCGACCTAAAGTGTTTCATTCAAGAAGGGTTTGGACAAGCAGAGAAATTTATTGGAAAAGGATTAACATGGACTTCAAGCTTTCTATCCTCAACCAGTAAATCTGAATCAGGATGAGTGTACAGCGTTTTGATAGATGTAACAAACGGTAACATTATACATGACTTCTGTCTAAAAAGATTTATTATAAAATAGACATAACTTTGTAAACTAAAGCGTGCTACTTGTTGCTTAGTTTTCTGCTTGCTACACCACTAACCGTAGTGGTAGTGACTTTTGGTAGGCAGTTCTCTTCATGTTACCCCAAAGTTTACTTGACTGAGTGTATTAAACCACAGGCTCATTGTGGTAACTTAGGCTTCTCACTGTTTTGTGGGCAATTGTTAGGTCTCTCTTCTGTGAATGTTCCCATCTTAGAAGTGGGTGTTTTAAGTATCCGAGCATGGCCATGAACACAATTCGCACAGCAGCGTACGTATTGATGGTGTGAGCGTGCAAGGACTCCGCACGAGTCAGGATGCTCTATAAACGTTACAGACACCAAGTAGGCTATTAGTAATTTAGGATTACGTGTAGGCGAGACGATGAATGAAATCTTGGCCATATGCTTGACTGCTAACACATTTACTGTGACCTAGTACAATGGGATGGCCACTTCTCCCTACAATTTAAGCCACAATTCCCACTGGTCTCCAAAACTTTACGTTATGAGAGTACAGATGATGTGAACATTTTAAGTTGTTTTTCAGATGACCCCTGGAAATCAGGCATTGCCGTGAACCATGAATCACTCCATGGGATACTCTTAATGATAATGAGTTTATAGGATTCCTTTTTATACGAATTTCCTTGACCTTCAGATAGGCTACAATCCGGGATAGCAACTAGTTATAGTCTCCCGTTTTAGGGACTTTTCAGAGAAGCAATTCGTTTGATGGAATATTCCGTTGAGTCTGAAGATAGCCGGGAACTGGAATGTTGAATCCACTGCATATTGTTCGAATTTTCCAAGTGCAAAAAGATTTGACAGAAAAACAACCATGTTTTCTAGTGTGATCACCTAGCATTTTTTTATATTATTTTCGATACTTTTGTCAGTAATCGAACAGATCTGTAGCACTTAGAATTGTGCCAATACCTGGAATTCAAAAAGAGATAGGATAGCGTGCCTTAAATACATTGGATGCTTTGGCTTTGTTTTGTAGTGCTGACATGACTTACTGAGCCAAATAGGACTTCATCGTCCTGTGTGACGAAAACCGTTCTTCATATCCAGATTTTCATGTGTAGTGTTTCGTAGACTTTTCCAGTGCCGTGCTTGGGATTAATTAGAAGTGGAGTAATCTATAAGTTGTCAGACTATGCAATGGACTTATGTTTTTTGCATATTTGTTACAAGGCTATCTGTCGAATGCGTAGCTACAATCTTTACCCGTCGCAAGACCACTAAGAAGTCCTCCACCCAGGCTTCTAATAACATGCATCCCATGGCTAGTGCATTTAATCTAAGCCATGAAACGGTAAACATGCTCTGTGCTTCTTTGAATTTTCTACTTTTGATTTATCTGCACTTTACCTCTGTCTCCTCAAACTTAGATACGTGATTACCATATGTTTGGTACGACCACTAAGTACAGGGTATTCACATTCGCCAGACTCTTATTGCAGTTTCGGAAGATGCTTGGTGCACCTTTTCAGTTGGTGAGTTTTTCTATTTCTTTTGGTAAGAGGATTATGATTTTAGCAGGAGTAGAATCAATAGTACAACCCTAATAACTGCGGCATGTGGTTATCCACTGCCATTAGACATTACTAAATAGCTCGAAGGGGTAAAGCCAGACCGCTACTCGTCCGTGCAAAATTGTGGTTTCCCACAGAAAAGGAGTTGGGGAGAGTCGTTCTCGATTAGGTACCGTTTACTAACAATTTTGGACTCCATAATATGTAATAGCTCTTGCTTTGGCTTTTTACTCCAACGTGGAAATTTCGCACTCTGCCTAGAAAGTGTTTCTCCCTTAGTGGTCTCGTAAAAGTCACCAATTTAATGGCATTTATTTATTATCCTCTTGGGTTCCGAGTGGAGAAATTTAATGGCATTCTCTGTGTCCCTTTTCAATTTTGATTTCTTGGGTATTGAAATTATTATGGTTCTCCAACGCTGCTGACTCACAAACTGCCAGTAGCAACTCAGTATTTGACGTGTGAGCAAGGTCAGTTCAATTTAATTAAACTTCTGCGAAACAGTAAGGTGACCACTGGAAATTCTTTCTATTTCAGAAGGCATGATAGCAGGATACCGTCAGGCTTATTCTGTATCAGGAGCCAGCAACACTCAACAAATGGTTTTTAAAAGCTGGGGGAGTAGACTTTCACAGATAGTACGATTTATACTAACGCAAAATCTAATACCCATAACTTCTACAGTATTCGTTCCACGTAGATCAAAGGCAAAATACTAGAATTGACAGTCAAAATTACTAGGATGGTTGCTTAACTAGCCAGGGTTCGTGCACGAACCAACAAACGTAACAGACGGCGTGTCAAATGTGGTGGATGCGTGACAATAAACATTCAGTTAAACAAATCGACTTAAATAGTGACGGTTAGCATCTAATGTTCAGTGATGAACGCTGAGGTTAATAATTCTGGGAAACAACCTACATGTAATGTCTTAAACATCTCGGATAGCATCGTATGATAAAAATCATGACTTATCTATAGTAGATATTGGAAATACATAGAAGAGATAGCCTATTGTATGTTATAAAATGAGATTTAAAGGAAGAATCGAGTTTAACTCTCCCGAGTACTACGAAAATATCCTTAGGCTAGAAAGTGCTTTAATCTAACAATGCGTCTTTTGATTATTTTTAATATTACTGAGCAGCACATCATCTATCTACTCACTTCCCTAGTGTCACCTTCATTTGTGTTCAAAACTGCTCACAAGCCTTTGTTTCCTACTCACATGATCTATACTGTGTCATTCTCGAACATCAAACTCATCACTTTTTAGTCTCGTTACACTAGACTCCCTGGTGTGTAATATCTCTTGACTGACTGCTCATCATTTGTTTAAACCATACAGATTTCCTACTGTAAATCAGTTTAGCAATATGTCACTGGCTGAATTGTCCGCAGAGTTTATACTTGCGTCTCTCTACTAGTCATTTGGGTCTCAGTATCAACCGCAGGCACCTCATGATAAAAGTCCGCAGTAGCCTGTTGGAAATGCTTCTGGTGATTATTGTCAATTTTCTGAGCCAAACCAACACTAGCGTCTAAAATTCGGCTGTTGTTGCCGGGGTTATGTGATGTGGATCTTCACACTGGTTTCAGAGTGGTGAATGTCTATTTCGCCTTCCTGAATATGTCCGGCTTTGACGTCATCTGTGATTGAGACGAAGCTGTCTGGGTAATTGAAATAAATGACTTCCTTCAGATTTGTTCTGTTGATGGTGATGGATATGGAACTAGCCCATGATGATATACGACCGATTTCTAGGCAGAAATCATTACAGCTAGTGTATTTTTCCCAGGTATTTTGATCGCTTAGTTGGTACAAAACGCAATGAACTTGTCAGAGGTGGATCCAACTAACCTAGAGTGACCACACTGTGGAAATTCGCCTCCATGATGCGTGTCATGTCATTCTGCACCTATTCAACATACACCACGCTACTGGAAACATTTAAAGATGTGATTTGTCGGATTCAACAGAACTTTAAGTCTATCAGACAACACACCGCCTTTGTCACTTCACATTCAATACTGAAATAGCATTCAAAAGTAATAGGGTCATGCAGGGAACAAAATGATATGGATAGCAGAGGATAAATCCTCAATATTTCGCATTTACTTTCCTCGCTTTATAGTAACAGATCAGATGAGCTGCTACAATTATGCATTTCGATCAAAACAGCTGATTAAACACAACACAAAGATGAGAATACTTCAAGTAGTTTTATGACAATAAAAGTTTACCTCTAGCGCATTCACTGAGAGGAGTAAATTACAAAAACAAAATTAAAAAGAACAATGAGTGGTTATTATATTATCACATATACTATTTCCAAAGAGATTCCAGTTTTCTGAAAATGTCTTGGGGTCATGGATTCGCAGATTTATGTATATATTTACCGTTGCTAATTATTAGAAGAAAGAGAAAAGAGTTGACAGGTTGAGCAGTAAGCAATTATGCCATTAAGAGGACTACAACGCCTATAACTAAAAGCAGAATAGTGATAGGCATTACATATATAAGATCAGAAGCTTTAGGTTTCGGTACAATCACCGGGAAATAATCTTTATCATTCTTGCCGACAATATGACTGTTACTGCCATCTGGACAATTCAGAGTAGGATGTTTGATTTCAGTAGTAGGTTCAGTGTTCTTAAGCTCTTCACTTTTTGTCAACGGTAGACTAGAAATGATAAAACAAAGAAGAGTTATAGAAGTTAACCGCGGTACACCGGAAAATACGCATTTAGTAACAAAAGAGAATACAAACAAATTTACCAATTATGAAGTAATACAATGCTGACATGGCTTATTCCTTTAAGTTACCAGTTCAGGAACATAGGGTGGCTTCAAGCTGGAGGCTTAAAGTTTCGGTAGAACTGGTGCTTCATTTTTACGGGATGGGTTTCCTAGCCTCATGCCCAATCAACCTTCGCTCTTCAACAGTCTTATTACTGGCTTAGAGAGGTAAAGGAGTGTGTCGGTGGCCGGGAATCGAACCCCGAATCACATGCGTGGTTGGTGAGCATTCTATCACTGTGCCACCAACATAATGGTACATTAAATGTATAAGGGAGATAGACACTACTTAGTCGTTTCACTAGATTTATATAGGCTTCTTCAAGCTCCCTTATTAAGTTCGTTTTCACTTCGTCAAATGGATGTACCTGCTGCTCCCCACTGAGACTGAACCGACCATCATCCATCGCTTCAAACACCAGTAGGTCGTCCAATAGACGGCAACGGAGGTTACCTCTAGTTTAACGGGCAACTATCGTTATTGATACAAAAGTTATTTCGAATTCTTCTTTGATGATATATCATAACGAATCGATCAGGCGATTTCTAATACATGGTTTCCATGAACAGAAACCTTAACAATATCAAGAAGGGCTGATGAGCCTCAAGGCGGAAGGAATGCAAATCTCGGATCTTGCTGTTAGCCACTACCAAACAGCTTAATTATATCTTCGTATTATCGAGGCGTCTGTTCAAGGAGCCCCCCCCACACACACACCAAAAGAAGGCTGATCAATAGATTCCACATATAAAAACTGGAAATTACAAATATGAATAAAATTGTCTTGCATATATTTATATTTTATTAGGTCAAGTTAATAAAATCTATAACATTTAAACAGAAGATTTCTGTTTCTTCAGTGCATTTCGCTCTTGAGAAGATTCCTATTTTGAATAAAACAGGTGGATGGCATACACCACCGACGACGTATAAACAACAATTCTATCATTTTTAGAATGATTATTTATGTCCGTTGATCATAAACTTTTTCTAAGAGTGTTATTTTATTACATTATTGTTAGGACGGACAAGCTTCTGTGTTTGCTGTGAAGTCGTGATTTATGCATATACTGACACGATCACCTGATTGGACAGTTTTTCATTCGCCAATTTATGGCTTAATTTTCTGAGGTATTACGATGTCATGAAACCAATCAGATTAGTTCTATTTATAGCTTAAATTCCTGAGGGTGCGTATCGTCAATCCTTCCGTATTAGTTTGTTTGTTAGATGTATTACCACACAGTGAGTGAAACAGTATTATCATTATTTACTGGATGATAAGGTTTCGAACACAATTTATTTTTCATATTCATCTCATCAATTATAATCACAAAACTTCGAAACTTCAGTTTTATAGTTTTCTTTGTTCTCTCCTATTCGTCGTCGTTGAGGTAGTAGAATTTTCCAGATATCTGAGTGGACAGGTGTTGAATCATTCCTTTACACACGTTTTCAGCTTTGGATTTGGTTTTCCGACCATCCCATCCTATGTCAGTGAAAATAGGATTGGTGAAATGTTTAAGTGACAACAGAGCACAAAAACTAAGTAGTACCAAGGAAAATCTAAGACAGGAAGTGAGACATATAAGAGAAGCCTTGAAACTTAATAATTACTCTGATAAATTGGTCAGAAAGTATATAGGGAAATGTAAAAGTTAAATAAATAATGATAGTACTGATAGTGATATTAATAATATTAATGACGACATGCACATCCAACATGCGCAAGATAATGACAGCATCAACAATAAGGAATCTAAGTTATCAGTATTAATTCCATACAAGGAAAAAACTTCGGAAACCAAGTTACGCAGAATTCTTAACAATACAAGCAGGAATAAAAGTGACTGACAGTCAAACCACCCACAAACTCAATTAGAAACAAGCTTTGTCGGTTAAAGCACCAATCCTGTGGAGCCTTTGAAACAAAACAATTTAGTTTATCTAATAGCCTGCCTGTAATGATTGTCAGGTGAAATACATAGGTCAAAGTAGTAGAACAGGTGCAGTCGGACTAGCCGAACATAAAAACCTAGCAACAAAATCTAGATTAGTTGACCCGAATAAGATAAGAAATCTAGAGAATAGTTCAGCTATACCACTCACTACATGCAATTACAGACAACCATACTATAGGATGGATGGGATAGGATGACAGTTTTAAAATCAAATGTCACAGGGTGAATGGAGAGATTGATGTTTTTCATTCATTGGGAAATACAAAAACTTTTATTATAATGAATATCATATGCCCAAGCGGAAGCTTTGTTTATCGAATCAACTGCAAACACGTGTAATAGGAATGATTCAACACCGATCCACCCAGACAGCTGGGAAATTCTACTACTCCAACGACGACAAATATGAGAGAACAAAGAAAACTATAAAAGTCGAGTTTCGAAATAGTGTGATTATAATTGATGTGATGATTGTGAACCGCAATAAATTTTTTTCGAAACCAGTCATCCAGTAAATAATAATACTGTTTCACTCACTGTGTGATACATCTCATAAAGAAGCTAATATGGAATTACTTTCTACCATAGTGTCCAAGTGGTACACATATGTCGTCAATCATTTAAACTTACAAAACAGTCAAAACATTTCCTACATAAAAGAAGAAGAAGGTAAACACTTACTGATAACGTAAATGGATAGGAATATCTAATGAACCGACTGCATTTTTCTCTTCTGATTTACTTTTATCCTCTAAATGATTTGTATGAAATTTATAAGTTAATGGTTGAGAAAGCCATTCTGGAGCTTCAATATCCACTTGATTATAACTTAATACTTCATTATTATTCCCATTGGTTGAATCAGTTTTTTTATTTGCATTTGTCAACCACTTTACAAATCGATCAATTCGAGAATTTTCATTATGATTGACTGATTTACTTATGGAAAAGTTCAATTTAGGCTGATTTGAGGCTAATTCATATGGATCAATATAAAAACCTAAACATAAAAGAATATAAATGTGTATGCATTGAAACTAATTAAAAAGGCTAACTAAATAGTGCGCGCAACAAATAAATTTAAATTAAATAACGCGCGAAAATGAGGTGATTTAAACAAAATTGAACTTTATATGTTTGGGAAGGAAATTAATAAAAGTAACAATGAATTTAGGAACTTTTTGGCGCTTGAAATATAAATTTAATACACTGCAAGCGTCATTTTTTATTGTAGCACAGTATGTCAATTTTTTAAAATATCTTAATGGATATTTATTATAACGAATGTATAATTGAACATTGAACAATACAGAATTAATATTGTGATACATTTTAGAGTGGATTCATGTGTAAACGTGATTCAGATTCAATTAGATATTAACATTGACTGAATAATTTTCTTTTTTCAACTTTACTTTGATACTTTGACACATCATTCAAGGTGATCATAATCGTGGTAATTAGAGAACTATTGAAAACCAGCGTGAAGTAATGGAGAGTTGTTTCGTCCCAGTTTGAGACTCATCGGCAGTACACACCCAGAGCCAGGGTTTAAACTTAGGATCCTCCAGTCAATGAAGATTCCCATACTAGGCAGACGAAGCAGCTGGCTGTCCAGTAATCCAGCGCTGGTTTTCCAATGGTTCTCTAACTGATCTCAGCTCATGATGAAATCCTTCAAATAAATCATCTTAATAATAATAATACGCAATACGAAAACAAAATCACTCTTATATACCTGACGGTAAATGTACATGAAGTTGACAAGTTTCTAATGATTTCTCAGGAAAATTATGGAAATCACAACGTAATCGAAGATGAAATCCTTGTTGAGTTATATTACAGTCAAGATGTGGACGTTGAATAGGATAATTTGAAGTTGGCGGTGTATTGTCAGCGTTGATAACCAACACGATAGTAACAGCATAAATTACTAGGTAGATCATCTAAAGAAAATCCCCAATAAAAGGCACGAAACGATTAATTAAATATCAAATTACATCTCGATAAATGTAATAATAATACCAATGCTATATACATCTGACAAACATCTCGAGAAATCAAGGTAATCAGAAGAAATGAACACCGTAGAGCCGCATCTGTTCGACCACCGAGAAATCCAGTTGAACTAGAGGAGCTTGAAAAATGATCAGCCAGCCATAGGTTTACACGCTATAGAATCAGGTCACAAAATTGATTTTGACAATATTGATATATTGCAGAAAAAGCATTTCAGAAATCACAAAGAACGTCTAACATCATCAGAAGCACTTCATATCAAATGGGATCCAAATTGTCTGAATAGGAATGATAGACTAAAACAGAATTTGACCTGGTTACAACACCTCCTTAATCCATGAAGTGACGAAATCAACACGAATGTGATTGATAAGCAATTTCATTATGTTAACACAGGCTGCTTTTATAATGTTATACACTTATCAAATTCAGCAATCTACACCTGGTTTTGTTATCTTTACCAATTGGTCAAATTGATAAAGCAAAAATACCCCCATGCTGAGGGACGATGATTAAGTTGTTATATATAAGCTGAGATTTTGAAAATTCTGGTTTAATATTACTACTTTGATAAAGCTAATAGCAGCATTAAATAATGAAATGTCAGTAAACCCCACAATATCGATTTGTTTTTCATTCATTGGGAAATACAATGAAACCTTTATTATTATGATTATGTTGGTGAAGCCTACATTGCGCTGAATATCCATACATTATATCGATTCTAAATGAAAGATTGGCAAACTTTTAAATAAAACCTGCGAAAATTTCGATATTTCGACAACAGTTAGAATAAGGTACTGCCCTAGTAATTTAAAACAATTAGTCCCTTGTATAAATTTGGATAGTGTTGTTATTAAAAGACGGAGATTATCTGCAATAGTGATGTACTGTATTTGCGCAATCAATTTTCACAGCTTCTGTCCACTACAGTATACGAGAGGCTTGGTGAAGTGTTCATTAAAGAGTACTCAGCATATTAAGGGAATACAATACTGATGGATACTCTTGTTGATAGCGGATATCCTCTAAAATGTTTAAATCGGTGTGGCAGTCAATTAGTTTAAGGATCTACAATTTATTCTGTCCCTAAGAAAGATTTTTTCATTAAATTGCCATACAATGGGAAAGCAAATAGTAGGATTTTGAGACAGAGACTAAACTCGGCCATCCGTAGAACCTATTATGCAGCTCAGCTTATACGTATTGAAAAAGCCGAAAATGTACTCCACTACAAACCTCAAAAGTGCACAAGTGATTATGTCACATCCCGCACAAAACCTATTTTACATGCGTGTGTTTGTGGACACACATACATAGAGAGGGATAATCGCGCTTTCTGTGTGAGGGTGGGGGAGCGTATTCTAAAGTGGTTACGAAAAATTGACAGATGCAGGTGGCAGACTATCAGCTTACTCTATAGCTAAACATCTAGTCGATATGATCCACACGATTGATGTCAAAACAGCTTCTAAGGTTTGATGATATTAGATGGTTGGAGGTTATCAGCAGGAAGGACAACCTGACCAAGGTTTCGTGCTTCTTGGCACTCACCAGTCAGCAAGGTGTATCTACAACTACTGAAGTAACCTATGTCCCTTCTGACATTCAAACCCGCGTCACCCAGTGCTTCAGTTAGAGACGTTACCACTGAGCTATTTGGGCTCGCGATTGACCTTCTGTAGCACTGTAGTGGGTATTTTGATTGGACACTAGTAACTAGTGCGATGTGTCTAGTCTTTTGTTTGGTGCAGACTGAATTCTATCAGTCACGTTTGCAATGTGGCCATCATTCTAGGTAGCTCGCCATCAAGGCGCATATTGATTTGATGATATTAGGTGGTTGGAGGCAATCAGAAGGAAGCCCAGCCTTGGAACTAGGTTTCGTGCTAGTTGGCACTCGTCAGAATTCAATCTGGACCAAAGGAAGGTCTAGATACATCACACCAGTTACTAGTGTCCAATCAAAATTTTAAAGGTTATTTTAAAAAATGGTCAGTAGCGTTTATTGAAATACGCTGAGGCGATAGCCATTCGTAAACATAGGCCCTCTACCCCTCCTCACCTCTGCCTGTGTAGAAAAACAATTTATATATTACTCTTAACCCACCTACCATGGTAATCCTTATCTGATTTCATGTATAACCAAACGTTGTATTAATTGTCCTTATTATTCTTAAATCCTTTTTGTCACCTTGTGTATTTTAACTGGCCTTTCTTTTTTCATATATAAATTGAGTTAAATGACAAGTCAATGTGTGAGGGATGAGACTGTTGTTCAAAATGTATTGCGCAAATAAGCCAAAATATTTTTCAGATAATCTCCCTCTTATAATAACTACACTATCCAAACTGCATTAGTAAGTTTTATATTAAGGAAAGGGATTTGAATGAAAACTTGTACACTACTCGGTGAAAAGTTCAGAATCTACATCTCTATCTGATAAGAACTGCTAGATAGTAGAGGAGGTAATTCTATAATAAAAGCCTCAGAACTATGTTCCATCCCCATTGACATGAATCACTGCGGAATACTAAATCTCAAATCTTGACGAAATGAGATGAATGCAGAAATATGATACTTTAACACTGTGATAATCAAGATTAGTTTTCCGTTAAGTTGAATTACGTAATCTGCTCACAATCACAGAGTCGCCTTGACTTGTAATACATGAATAACACTCATTGGCATGAAGTTTTCAATACCACTAAAGCTGTAAGATACCTCTCGTAATAGTAAAATGTATGTACACCTCTTTTTTTATGCATTACTGTAACAACAGAAGACAAGGGCCAGGCAACAGATCGTTTATTAAGGAAAATCAACACATATTTATAGATTTTAATGTACATCACTGTAGATTATTGTTAGTAGAAAATACCGTCTTTTGATTGGTTGTTTCTCACAGAAAATTAACTTTGCATCTCTTTGTGGCTGTGTCAGATCATCCATATGCTAACTGTATCCGTCTACGCAAAGCCTTTGTTATCATTTTCTCACCACCAATATTGGGGACATAAACATTGACGTCAATTACTTTCTACCAACTTTGGCTAGCAGCCAGCTCTCACCACATTACTATTATTGTTCCTTTGGGTTCCGAGTCGAACATAAGGCTTCAACAACATATCTCCATTTTGTTATATTTTCTGGTGTCCTCTTCATCTGGGCCCACAATTCCCCATAATCTCTCATCTCCTCCTCACCACACCCAGACTCACGCATCACTAGTCGTTCCCAATTCTGGTTCCACTTGAACAACGACTTGACAGGCTTGCAAGTTCGGTCGACGGCAGATTCGTGGTTAGTTTGTTCTCATAGTTTCTTACTGCAAATTCTTTCTGGCTGACAATTTGATCTTCAATAAGAAGGCAGCGAAGTGGGCAGCAACCTGTTGGAAATCCTTTTCGTGACACGCTGGCCAAGTTCCCGACCCGTATAGAAGGATTGATTTCACATTTGTGTTGAAAATCCAAATCATTTTCTTTATGCTGATTGAGTGCAGAAGATTTCAAAGCAGGTTTCAAGTCGATGAGGGCGTATCTTGGTCTTTCCGAAACGATGCTTCCTAGATAAGTAAAGGAAGTAACAACTGTTAAATCTCTTCAGTTGATAGTGATTGGTGCTGGTTGTTGTTGCTGGTCAGCGGGTTGGTTGTCTTTATCACCTCCGTCCTCTCTATGTTTACTTGACGTCCTGTCTTCGCTACCTGCGACTTCTGCGAGTTTGTTGGTTTTTGCCTGCAATTCTTCGAATTGTTATTATTTGGTGGAATATAGCTAGCACATTTCGTCTCATTTGGCATTTGTCAACTGGATATACCTGCAATCCCAGTAAGTGATAGTTTTTCAACTTATCCGGATGACAAGTCCCAAAAAGGACGAGATTCACATCCTGGAATCCACTGGTAGTCACCATATCCACTTAATGACAATATGTTAATCGTTAGACACCGTCGGAGTGTCCGTCCTAGAAGCTGATATATCAATACAAAGCGAACATTTCGTTCAAATATAATCAATCAATAAAAAATGTAAAATTAAATTAAACAAATCTACAATCTTTGACAATAGATAGTTACCTTTTATCACTTGTATCAGATTGCTTTTCGTCTTTACAAACTTTTTTCACTGAATGATACTCATAGTTCACTGGATAAGATTTGATGAAATTAAGCCTGTGTAGTTAGTTGTTGAATAGACACTAACGTATAAAACAGCGAAAAAAAGCAAAAGAGGTCAGTCAGTGTGGTGCCTTAAACCCATACATATAAATGTAAGTTATTATTATTATTATTGTTTCCTTGGGTTCCTAGTGAAATATAGGACTTCAACTGCACGTCTCCACTTGCTTCTGTCTTCTGCTGTACTTTTCACCTGCATCCATGTTAGTCCATACTATTTCAACTCCTCTTCATACGATCTCCTCCATGTCACCCTTGGACGTCCCACTCGCCGCTTCCCTTTCGGGTTCCACTCGAGCGATGGCCTGACGCGCGATGTCACCCAACGGCCTCCTCAGTGAGTGTCCAATCCATCTCCACTTCCTCCTGCATATTTGTTGAGCGATTGGTTCTGGCTTTGTTTGTTCCCATAGTTTCTTGTTGGTTCTTGTTCTTTCCGGCCATCTGATCTTCTGTATAGAGCCAGCGAAGACAGTTGTTGATAAAGGTCTGCAACAGGCTGTTGGAAATATTCTTTGTGACCCGCCAAGTTTCTGATCCGTATAGAAGAACTGACTGACTTGACGTTTGTATTGAAAATCCGTATTTTGTTGTTGATGCTGAGTGAGTGACGAAGATTTCCAGATTGGTTTCAGGTTGATGAATGTGTTTCTCGCCTTCCCGATTCTCGCTCGATTTGACATCCTCGTCCGTTCCTCCTGTAGTTGAGACAATGCTCCCTAGATAAGTGAATGAAGTAACCTCTTTCAAATCCCTCCCGTTGATGGTGATTGGCGGTGGATGTTGCTGCCGTTGTTGTTGGTTGGTTATTTTCATAGCCTCACTCTTGTCTATGTTCATCTGGAGTCCTGTCTTTCCTGCTTCTTCGACCAGTAACTCCAGAAGAAGATACTTGTCAAGAGAGTGCCGAACAATAAAATTACCGCAACTCAACAACAGGATAACTTCGTTCTAGAAAAAAAACATCTGGTTAGGCCTCAACCGATTACTTCATCCGTTCGAAACTGTAGTTAGTAGCGTACAAATTAGTGGATTCAGTAAAAAACCAACCCTGTTTTCCACGCCAAATGATCTATCATCAAAGGATAAAGGAAATGTAACTTAAAAAATTACACCGGTGAAGATTTTTCTCAACACTACTACGTTGGGCAGTCTTGTCATCAAACTACCAACACATATTGTGGTGAGAGCTGTCTACAAGTCCAAATTGTAGACAACAATTTGCGTCAATATTTACGTCCCGAATCGGAGTTATGAGAAAAAAACAATAACAAAGCTTAACCTTGAGGAACTCACCAACCAATCACAGCAGACTTAACGTGTGCAAATACGATTCGAAGATATATGGCTCACCTCTACAAGTTGAGTGATGAGCAACCAATCAATTTTGAAAGGTAATACTGTCAAATTAATCTTTTCTAGTTTAATAGCTCGCTTGATTTCTAGCCGGTTCCAAGTCCGGTTAAAGAGAGAAGGTTGGGCATGGTAACAGCGACCATACATCGAAAAATCAATCAAACTGCTAAAAAAAATTCAGTGCACAAAGAAATACGAAAAATATAATAAACAAACTTATTCTTCACTGGAATCGGGCTGGTGAAAGCCTTTGGGAAGCCAGTCAACCGATGAGTCTTCTTTCGGTGGAAGCAAAACTTGCAAGTGAAAACTAACAAACAAGCTAAAGAAGCAGCAAAAGCAGGACTCCAGGTGGATATAGAGAAGACGGAGGTGATGAAGATAACCAACCAGCTAATCAACAGCAACAACAATCACCACTAATCAATATCAACGGAAGAAACTTATCCAGGTATCATCGTTTCAACTACCGGTGAATTCACGGATGAAGATGTCAAAACCAGAATCGAAAAGACAAGACAAAGCTTCAACACTCTTAAATCAGTTTGGAAATCTTCTGCATACCACCAGTTCAGCTTAGAGAGCAGGATTCGGATTCTGTTCAACACACATGTTTAGCCAGTCAGTCAATCAGTCACTTCTTCTATGCGGATCAGAAACTTGGACTACGCATCACGAAATGAATTTCCAACAGACTACTGAAGACTTTTAGCAACAGTTGCCCACTTCGCTAGCTTCATATTGAAGATCAAATGGCCGGCCGGCCGGCCGGCGGGCTAGAAAGAATTAGCGATCAGAAACTATGCAAACAAACTAACCAAGAACTGGTCGTTTGAGAAATATGTAAGAGAAAACTGAGATGGACACACATCGCTGAGGAGACCATCGAACGGCATCGCGTGCCAGCCAGACCATTGTTCGAGTGGAACCGGAACTGGAAACGACGAGTGGGGCCTAATTCCGAGTGTGATATGGTGGAGGTCGTGCGAGGAGGAGGGGGAGATAAGAGATTGTGGGGAATCGTTGACCCAGCTAGAGACGACAGCACAAAATATATCAAAATGGAGATCTGCTGTTGAAGCCCTATGTTCGACTTCGAACACAAGGTAACAATAATAATAATAATACTGTCAAATTATACAAATGGAACTCAACAGACATTGAATGCATCATTTTTCTTTTAAAAAAGTGCATACACAGATGGCACAACGCGACACAAACGAAACAACAACAGTAGCAACAACAACAACAAAAAGGCAGCACTTTCTCTTCAAAAATTTATTTATTTATTTATCAAAATTAATCGCTGCACTGTACAACAAATGAGAAAGGCGAAGAAAATGTATTTTTACACAATTATATGAGATGGCCTTTCCTTTCCTTTCTTTTCCTATTCCATCTCCATAGGCACTTCTTTGCTATTCCCATTCTTCTTCCTCTGCTGCTTAGCTTTTTTCTTGTTCTCCTCGTTGTGAAATCGACTTTCTGAAAGGCTCTTTTTATTTTCATTTCCATGTTTTACAGTAAGAGCATCTGGCAGTGATGTCAGGGACGAGGAAGTTTTGCCTAAAGACTTTAGGGGAAAACGTAGGTGTAGATATAATTAGGACATCTTGACATTATACAGTAAAACACAAAAATTAACAATTCAAGGTGAGACAATTCACTACAATGATACCCTTTTGGAAATCAAAATTATTGAGCTCACAATGTTATGATCTACTTGACCGAGCTTATAATATTGTGGTGACAGATGGCTGCAAACAAGCCAAAATTGTAGACAACAATTTGCGTCAATGTTCACGTCCCGAATACGTTTCATGAGGGAAACAATAACAATGCTTAACCTTGAGAAACTCACTCACCAACCAATCACGGTAGACTTAACGTGTGCAAATACGATTCGCAGATATATGGCTTAAATTTCTAAGAAATGGTCGTAAGCAGTACAGAATGACTTTCAGCAAGAAAAGAGCCAATCAGGAGACACTGCTTCTCTGCTGACAATAATGTACATAAAAATCTATAAATATTTCTTGATTTTATCAGTAAATGATGTGTTCCCTGGCCCTTGTCTTCGTTCTGTCGTTACAATGTCAGTGATGTAATCAGTTTGACTCAACTGAGAAAGAGAAGGGGGGTGGCGAATTACTTCGACTCATCCGATTTCTGGACAGCTGCGTTTTGCGTAAACTGATAAGTCCAATTCACAATCTACAGTTTACACACAGTTCGAGTGGTGAAATTTCACCAGACAAATTCCATAGGAAACCGAGATTATTCAAATCACAGCACATCATCGGATCGGTACGATGAGAGCTAATCAGGAAACCAAGTATAATAGTTCAGTGGTAACATACTACTAATGATTAATATGAGTAGTTGTAAACCACTCATGTTACACGGTTCGCCAGCTTGGTCGAAATGATCTTTGCTGAGGTGTCTTTGTGTGTTATATACACACCTAGTTTTGCATAAAACTTTAAAATAAATATTTTAAGCAGTTATCGGTTTGGATTGATGGATTCTGATTGGCTGTAAATGCTTTTGATGCATCACTGAATTGCTGAATTTTCAAGATCATTCTAACAGTACATATATATATATATATATATAGTTTCTGTCTAGCACTGTGACTGATATTTGAGACAGTTAAAGCTCTCTTATAGATGTCCAGTTTATTCTTTTGTCTTTGAGTGCCGGCGGTGTTATTGTTGTTGTTGCTGCTTTGCGATTAGGACAGATTAGCCAATGTATTAAGCTAGTATTCGCTCATAGTCCACTAGGTCATAGTTCCGATCATAACACTGTGAAAAAAGCAAACGAATTTCCCTGTGTCATAATTGTCTTCCATTCAAATGAAATCAAAAACTGACGTAGAACTTTGTACCGTTGTGCAGAGGTTCGAGTCGCCACACTTCACTCAGCACACAAAGCCAGAGAAGAAAGTAAAAAGAAATGCAAAACACAGACCGTAAACACAGATATGAGGCAAAAAGAATAATAATGTGGAAGAACAATATAGTCTTATAGGAGATTATAAGTCACAGAGAGTGGATGCATCTGCACCAGCCATTGAGAAAGATTTTGAGTCATATCACCAATTGTCTCCAGCCATTGGTTTTTATTATCTCGAGGACTCCAACCGCACAGTCAGTTTACACTTTCCTACGTGTCTGGCTTAAACTAACTGTTTTGGATTTCATTGACTGATGAAACCATGTTTTCGTTTGACCAACACTAGCTTTCTCTTTTCCAACCTGATCAATCCTATGTCAGCTAACATCGCCTGTTGTCAAGGAAGGCGATCGATGGCTAGACAGGCATGCGTAACACATGTCCCAACCATCTCTATCTCAGTCCATGTAACTTCACAACCACCTCGTATATTGATTTCCCCTCTTTACCTAGCATTCGACGCCTAACCTCAATATTGCTAAACCTATTTTAACACTTCACACGGGAGACAGAAATCAAAAATAGATACGATATGATTCTTTTTGAGAGAGATCGTGAATTTAGTGAAGATGATAACTGATATTGAAGTGAGTATATATGAGTTGTTGGGTGACATAAATAATTCATTAAATTACAAGAATTAACTGCTAACTCAAAGTCTTCATTTCACTACAAATTGCATCTTCATTGGATTAACTACACAATAACAAAAACAACTCAGTGTATGCATGCTTTTTCTGTGTGTTATGACCGGAACTATGACATAGTAGACTATGAGCAAACACTAACTTTACGCCCTGGCTAATCTGCCCTAATCGCACGTCAACAACAACAACAATAACGACTTCGCTGGGCCGCAAAATAAAAATAATAATCTAATTTATTCCAAAAAACAGTACTTATAATACAAAATGGAATTCTCAGTATTTGTCACAATATTGCATCTTAATTACTCAAAATATAAATAAAATTAAAAATTAAAACAAAATTTACCAGAGGAATTCGTCCACATTTACGATATGAGGTCAAAAATATTCGAAGTACAAAATGAGAATAATAAATATAATAATGGTACTAATAATAATAACAGTGGGTTTGTTTCAGTCAATATTGTCGATTCAGTTTGGAAATTTTAGCATGTTATAGATTATTGGGTCTAATGTTCTGCTGATGTAGTATGGTGAGGGGAAAGACAAAATTAACAGTTATAACACAGCTTAAATGATGTTCACATTTATGAAAAAATAAACAAATAAAAACAAAATTGCGAGGATTATAAATATAAGAAGTAAAATAACAATGCAGGTTGATGTTGTAGGGGTGAAGGAAAATGGTTTATTTAGTAGTGCAAAGAAGGTTAGTTAGTTCATGCCTAACACTATTTTCATCACATAAATTACGTGCCACCAAATATGGTATAGTGGAATTTTTATACTTAGACGTACGTGCATAAAGTCTTCTCAAAAGACTTCTTGTTTGACCTGAGGAGACACAAGGTTGGAGCTGCAGGTGTTGCGGTGAATGTTCACAGTCTGAAAAAATTCCTCTAGCAGATTTGTTGCATGAAATCAAGTGCCTATCAATGACGATGTCCACGATATGGCTTAATGGGATACCACTCACTCTACTGACAGTCAGTCTTCAGAGTTCTACGAAGTATGACATAGTCTTTTTTAAGCAATCGAGGAAAGAATAAGGGTGAACAGTAAAGAAGAATAGGTAAGATGCACGAGTTGACAACCTGAAAGAAGAGGAGGGTTGACTTATGCCTGAGTGCCTTAACTTCTTAATGTAAAAAGTCAGACGAAATATTCTTTTAGAAATCGCTAAGACATGGGAAGACCAGCATAAGTCAGAAGAAAGAATTAATCCAAGATACTTAACGTCGGACTTGATTTCTATACAAATATCATCAATTTTGCAATGGTCATAGGAACCAACAGCTTCATTTAACTTTCTTTTACATTGGAAACTGAAATTAACAGTCTGATATTTGCAAGGATTCAGTTTAAGACCATTGGACGAAGACCATTTGCAAACTCTCGATAGAAAGCTGTTCATCTTAGTACAGTCTAGCTGGGAGTTAACAGACATTGAAATAGTTAGATCGTCGGCATCCTTAACAAAGTTCATTTCATCAGAGTGAGACAAGTCATGCAAAAAGAAAAAACAGAAAAGGAGAAAGGACAGCGCCTTGAGGGACAGAAGAGAAGACGGGAAGTTGGTAAGATAGCTTTTACTGTCTCAAAACAACAGTCAAGAAAAGGTTGACAGAACTTGCACATATATAGTTTTAGGATGACCTTGAGAAGCAGTAATGTCATTGATAAATTAACACAGTGAACAACCAATAGGATTTTAAAAGTCATAAGTAAGATGACAGAATATCACGTCATAAATCAATAAGTGGGGAGAGAGTAATGCAAACAGACATGTAGAAAATTAGGTCTATATATCACTGTGCTTTTGTGTGATTTCATCCATTCACCAGTGCACTGGCGAAGAGGTGGCAAACCAAGAAGGAAATAGGCTATCGAGTGGGCCTTAATCTCTAACAAACGTCTGTCTAACTGAGATCGGTTCATGATGTGGGATCTATTTATTTTCAAATCACATTTCTGTACAATCATACGACAACAACAAAACTGAAAATTCTTCAAAATATACTTACTGTCATAAGATTTTCATAATTTCTTAATGTAACTTTATATTCAGCATTGAATTGTGACCATTGACTTTGGTGGAATTGTAGTTGTTTTATCTTTTTACGACCAACACGTTTCAAATCTTTTTTAAAATGATAGAACTAGAGACAACAGGGAAGAAAGAGGAAATATACACAAACACATACACGCATGCATACAAACATATAAATAAACAGACAAACGAGGAACATTTAAATGAACAAAATGAATGACAAGAAAGGAAGGGGTAATCATAATATAGATAAGGGAACTAACGATGAATTGAAGTGAATATATCATTGAGCCCTGGGGGGTAATAATGACGTAAACGACAGATGTGTGAATACTGAAACATAAATGAACTCTTAAGTCAGAAAACTAATCCAATCGCCAGAAAGATTTCAAAGCGCAACTATAGGGAGTTAGCAGATGATAACCCTCCGTAGGCTCTTACCTGGCTGCATGAGTTTGAGTAGAGTGCCTTGATCATTGCGACATGCTTTCTCGGCATTCCCTCCCTTTACAATCAAACATTACCATAGTACCTCTCGGTCGACAGAATCGAATGCCGTTTTCAGTAATATAAACAAAAATACATAACAACACATTAATAATAACAATAACAAAAGACAATTTACTTGATTTGTAGACAGCAAAGTGTAAGCGACACCTTTCTTGCCGGCTCTAGCTGTCCGACCGATACGATGTATGTACGTTTTAATACTAGACGGTATATCATAGGAGACAACACATTCAACATCTTCAATATCCATACCACGCGCCATAGAATCTGTACAAACTAGAATCTACATTCGATAACACAAGTAAGAAAGAAAAAACAAAAATACATTTGAGAAAAATAGTAAACAGTGAATAGTTAATATAACTGATGATGATAAATTGATGGATGGTGATGGGCATTTTGTCCCACTTGTGACTCGTCATCTGCATATATCTGCACTCCTCAGTGAGTGAGTGATGGTGCTCTCCTCCCTGAAGCTCTAGCCCAGTATCCATAGTTCCAAGCGCCAAAGTGTTAGCCACCAGACCACTTGGACCACGACAGCCACCTCTTCCTTGTGCAACGGATATCAGTAATTATTTAATTCAATTTGAACTTTCCCGTTGATTGACTGGACCGAAGTGTTTGGCCTCAATTTAACACATCGGCTCCTTGTACGGAGTGAACAGCTAAACAGCTTAACAAAACGCATTACTAGGCATCTTCTTTCTTGGTTTAGAAAAAGCCAAACGAATTCTATTCATTACTGTTATTATTATTGTTCTACGATTACCAAAAAGCTTTCACCTCTTCACACGATTTCCTCCATGTCACCCTCAGACTGACTCCTGACCCGTCTTTTCGCACTCGAGCGATGTCCTGGCGTGCGACACCATTTGACGGTGTCCTCAACATGTGGCGTCGGTGGCACAGTGGTTAGGACTCTCGCCGACCATGCACATGGTCCGAGGTTCGATTCCCTGCCGACGCACACCTGATATCTATGGTCGGCCTGCGAAATTTGGGCTACCGATATCACATGCTGAAAATTCTATACCTGTACCAAAACACACTGTGTGGAATCAAGCTGTAATCAAAAATCAAAAAAAATCAAATGTACCCAATCCATCTCCATCTTCTACAGAATATTTGTTGAGCAATAGGTTCTTGGTTGCTTTCTTCCCTGAGTTTCTCGTCGCTTATTCTTTCTGACCAGCTGTTGATAAAAGTCTGCAGTAACCTGTTGGAAATGCCTCTCGTGACGAGCTAAGTCTCTGAATCATATATAGAAGAACTGATTGACTTAACATTGGTGTTAAAAATCCAAATTTCGTTCTTTATGCTGAGTGCAGAAGAATTCCAGACTGATTTTAGAGTGATGAAGGTCTGTTTTGCTTTTCCAATTCTGGTTTTGATATCTTCATCCGTTTCGCCTGTAGTTGAGACGATTCTGCCTTTCCTTCGAATTCCCCCCGTTGATAGTGATTGGTACTTGTAGTTGATGTTGGTTGGTTACCCTTATCACTTCTGCCTTGCCTATGTTCACCCGAAGTCCTGTCTTCGCTGCTTGTATATTCTGCCAACTTGTTGATTTTCGTCTGTAAGTCTTCGAGTTTGTGTGACATTCAGGACAAATCAACTGTGAAATCCATATCTTCTAGAATATTCTTGTCGGTCCAGCGTATTCCTACCTTGTCGCTTCCATGCACAGTCCGCCAGATAATCCAATCCACGACAATCAGAAATATTATCGATGGTAGTATGAAGCCTTGTTTTACTCCTGCCTTCACTTAAGACGCCTCGATGAGTGTGGTATTGTCATACAGCTGTTGAATGAAGTCGATAAAGATTTCATGCACTCCAAATTACTTCGAAGTGAGCGCCATCGAAGGTCGTCTGAAAGTCGATGAAGCTGACCTAGAGAGAAGTTTGACAACCATTCTATGCTCTGTTCGATGATGATATGTAACGCTGCTGTTTGATCAGCATATGGTATGCTTCTCTTGAATTCAGCTTTTTCCTGGCTGGCAGAGTTCTGCATCCAGTCCATCTTTTATTCTCTCCGCGATGGCGTGGAAAAGACCATGAGACCATCGTACCAACTTTATTCACGTCTAATTTGGTTGATAACGGTAACCAAGTGTGGACAGATGAAGCGCTTTTTCAAGGTTGCATTCCATAGAACTTTTTGAACGGAATTAAAACCTATGCAACTCTGGACAGGTGTTTCACCCTAGAGTGTGGATGGGACTCTTTATCAATGCATAGCCAAAATCACTATTACTAGCTTGCTTTCAGTGGTTAAAACCTTTTATAAATGAAGTTATGTACACTAGGGTAAAGCCTGAAGATCTAATTGAAAGACAACACAATTCACTTGTTTAAAGGATTTCATCATGAGATGTTTCGAGAACCACTGAAAAACCTGGTTGTACTGGACAGCTGTTTCGTCCTAGTTTGGGACTCTTCAACAGTACGCACCCACCAACAAGGTTCGAACTCAGGACCTTTTGGTTACAAGGCGAGCTAGCTCGTAGACCATTCAGCCACTGGGACCCGATCCAATGGTCCATGAATTCTAACTTCTGCCAATTTACGAAGTAGCGCAACCACTAACCAATGTGTTCGGCGAGTATTTGTCCTCACACCCGACCTGCTGCCCCCTACTGGTTACACGACTTCTCACTAGAACCCCAAGTAACTACCTACCTGAATAGATCTAGTCTCCAGTGAGCATCTCATTGATATTTAAGTATTGGTTTGTAGGGATTTGAAATCCTACAATTGGAAATCCTGTAACCAATCAATCACATCCCTACAAACCAATACTTGAACAATTCACTTGTATTATCCCGTAAATCATTTGAAAAACTGCTTACACTTACTTGACACATTCCAGTACTGAATGAATTCAGTATACGTTGACGTTTATTTGGATGCAGATTACTCGACAGAAATTTACTGTGTATATTTTGAAAATTAGACAACAGCAGATTTAAGCGCTTGGCACAATTCACTGTATTTGTAAAGCAGAGAATACGTGATTTGTGTTTTTGACGTATTAAATAGACAAGAAATAGCACACGTATATCCGGTTTCGCTGTGATTAGATATTCCTTTAAAACAATAATAATAATAAGGGGATAGAGGGAAACACAACACAATACACAATGTGAAGGCAAAGATTTAATCGAGAAAATATAAAACGGATTTAATAGTATGAGGAAAGCTATTGAGTAAATTATACTATAGACTATAGATTACACATTAATAATACTAAGATTGATTACCATAACTGAATCCAGTTAGAGAATCGTTGAAAACCAGGGAGTACTGTACAGTTGTTTCGTCCTTTCTCGGGGCTCTTCAACACTACATACCCATAACCCCACCAAGGATTGAATTCAGAACTTGCCAGTTACAAGGAGAGCTTGTAGACCATTGACAGCTCCTGGGACGGAGTCTAGTAGTCTATTAATTCTCGATTCTGCAAATTCACAATATGTAGATAGCGCAACTGCCAGTCAGTGTCATCGGTGAGTATATTTCCCCACACCCAACTTGGTGGATCCTGTTGGTTACTCATATAAAATGATCTTTTGTCAGTACCACTATCCTAACTGGTTTTATTATTATTCATTATTCAGTTTTGATATGCCCGTTAAAACACATAGTAGTTGCTCTACCAAATTTCCTATCTAGTGGATTCGCGAGCAAGAACAACAACATGATAACCACCGAAAGTGCGACGCAAGAAGACCAGAAGAGAAAAGAGACCGTTGAAGTAGAGAGCTTTTAATGTGTCATATAAACTGCAAAATAAGAGCTTTGGTTGCCCCTGATGACATCATGATAGCCACTCATTGCCTCAGTGTGCTCGTGGTTGTTGTCTGGGTGACCAGACCGAAGTAGATTAATGACTCTCCAATTGACAATTTTGATAGTCCACATCCATTCCACCTGCTCTCGCAGATTCTCACCAGTTGTAAACTATATCTTCTCATTTCTTCGGCAACATAGGCAGCCTTCCCAGTATCGTACGTCGTACGAATATTCCCACGTACTAATCGCTTACTTTTACTTTCATCGGAAGTAGACACATCGGCTGACTGACTGGCTTCCCGAAGGCTTTCACCACAAGCCCGCACCATTTCGCTTTTCCAGTCCCAGAGAACAATACGTTTGTGTTTTATATTTTCTCGCTGATCTTCCGGGGTAGGGTGGCTAACTCTAGGCCTGACCTCCTCTCTTCTCCAGGGCTTAATGGCTGCTAGAAAACTATCGAACGAGTAAACTAGACGATTGTACAACTTGAAAATAATAAATTCGTTGTAAAGGGTCTTTTCGTTGAATCAATTGTTTCAATTTTCAATATGTTCTAATGAGAATTATACATGACTTAAAATATTCAGCGAAATTTGGCATTTAAAGATGGGCTATGAGGAAAAAGAATGGTATAAAACCAATTAGGAGATTGATGTTCAGTAGGGCTTCGTGTGCTTTTGGAAGTGTGTGGGCGATTGTTACTTCCTGGTTGCCCACACCATGAAAGTTGATTGATTTTTCGGGTACTTCAAACAGAAAGCGAGTTAGTGTTGCGTGACCGCAGAACCCAGGGGACAACTGCTTGAGGCCGGTCACACACGGTTTGTATGAACTGATTTCTTGGTTTGGTTCCATATTAGTAAACTTACCGCCAGTTACGGACCACCGTAGGGTAAGTCGGGATGTACAATTTTTGGGGTCGACCTTTTCTAACGCTTCTCCCAAGTGAAGAGGCAGCATAGCTGGCATGATGGTCATCTGAGGGAAACATCTTCCTACTGTTGAATCCCTGTCCTCCAGCAGTACGCTTTGCCCACAGACCCCCAGTATAGTGTAAAAAAACATCCCACACTACGCCAGTAACTGCTCTTAGTCTAATCGCTATCTTAACAATCTTCTTGAAATGGTAGGACCTGCAGGAACAATAGTTCCAGCCAGTGTAGCTTGTTGGGTGATTGTGAAGTGCAAGCCCAACCACCACGTCAAGGTAGCAGCTATCAACTCGAACTACTGCACATGCTGAAAACAGTCAGTCACAAAAGCAATTATACACTAGTGAAAATACTCATATTTGATTGCACTAAGAAAAAATAATTACCTCCAAGTTCTGTGGAATAAAAAATTGGCCGACACCGCCATCATCATCAATAACATCATTAGAAAGTGTTGTATCTATTGCTGTGTGATTATTGTCTTTTGTTTCCACCGAATCGATACCATTCATTGTTCTTTCTTCACCATCTCGGTGTGATTTCGACTTCTTTTTCTTCTTCTTGTTTTCCGTTGTGTAACTTCCATCATGTGCTTCTTCTTCTAGTGTTGGCTGAATGATCTTATTTTCTACAAGTGAAGAATCTGTTTGACTTGATCGAAATAAAATAGGAAAGTATAGATTGAATTGTTTCAACGGTTCTGGATCATGTGTCAATGTGGCTGAAACAAGGATCTAAAGTGGTTGGTGTTGTTGTTTTTTTGAAGAGGAAGAAAGAAGAAGAGAGAAATAAGACACAGTTAAATGTACCCTACCCCCCCCCCCAGAAATGAGCAGAATATACACATTAAACTCAAAAGCGCTTGTTTACACATCACCTTGAGATTATAATTTTGAAAAAAGGAAACCTTAATAAAGCTAGGGTGATTGGGTTGTGCTATCTGATGCTCACTAATGGCTGGTTGTATTCCCATAGGTACTTATCTGGATTCTACTGTGAAGTGGCGACCAGTGGGGTAGAGCAGGTTGGTTGTGAGGAAAAATACTCGGCAGCGATAAAATTGTCTATTGGTCGCACAATATCATGAATTGGCAGAAGTTGGAATTCATGGAGTGGCTATTGGATTGGGTGCCATTAGCTTAATGGTCTACGAGCTTGACTTCTAACCGAGAGGTCGTGAGTTTAAACCCTAGTGTCTAATAAATATGATTAGACAATGCGTCAAGGATAGATAACCGCTTATGTCCACGTCTATGTGCATTTACTCTTTTACCTGCTCCTGTGGAGCTGATTATATTGGACGTTGTAAGCGTACTCTCCGAAAATGTGTAGCTGAACACTATGCGGTTTGGTTAATGAAAGGCGAATGTAGAACTGTAAAGTCGTCTATCTGTGATCACCTGTTAGAGTCAGGTCATTCAGTCTCACATGATTCATCTTTCAAAGTTATCTACATGGCAAAATCGAATCGATCCAAAAGTTTACGTTTTCTTCACTTATGCATAGCCGAAGCTTTAGCTATACATGAACAGAAACCTAAATAATGTGTTCAAAAAGGTTTTGTCAAACCCCTTTCTTTACCTTGGTCATAGTAATGTTCTTTCTAGTTTTTACTTTATTTTATTTTACCATTTGAATTCTTTCCACTTCACTTCACATCTTTATTCTTATCGTAATCGTACTCCTAATTTTTTAAAATTTTTAGAGGACACTTGACATTTTTAAAACATTTTTGATTTCAATTCACTTATAAAACAATCTTTAATAATTTTGTAATTTATCCACTTCAACTCTACCCCTTATAACATTTTAATTATCGTTATTCTTATCACATATATATATGTATATTGACTGAGCAATTATTTAGTGCCACTTAAAAACCTTTTTCTGTAATATAAATACGACTGTACAGTTGGCTTGAAAATGAAGTTGTTGAAAAGAAATTTCTTCGCTGAACAAAAAACTGTGTTTTTACTTAATATTATAATTGTTTGTCCCTTGGGTTCCCAGTGGAACGGTAGGCTTCAAAAGCTCATCTTCGTTCCACTGTATTCTGTACTGTTTTTATTAGCTGGCGGCTCTATGATTACCCACAAGCTGTCATTTTTTCCCTCCTCCTCATATGATCTTCTCCATGTCACCCATGAACACCCAATTTATAGCAACAGTTTGCTTATAAATGGAGTGGAAGCACTTTAGATGCTGCTATTGTACTCCACTACAATACTGTTTTAAATCTTGATTAGAAGGCACAAAGCTTGTTCGAGTCTCCTTTTTAGACTACACTGGTGCTTTTCACTCTATTAATAGGGCACTTTTACTGAGCAAGTCGCTTTCAGCATACACCGAGTCCTGGGTCACAAAGTGGCCGGCTGGCTTCCTATTTTTCAGGTAGAAAACAACATGCTGTTTTCAATGTAAAGCGCTCCGCTTCGTTGCTAACGGAAACTGGTGTACCCCGTATTTTCCCACGACTAATAGCATAAAATATACTCATGATCTAACAATTTCTGACCTAGTAGTTTCTGCTTTGGATTGTTCTCCTATGCATAGATTCATACCTGAAGTTAACGAATGGTCTCACCTAAATGGTCTTACACTGAATCCATCTAAATGTCATACTGTTGATTTTAGTTTCAGATGCAAACAAGACTTGCTTGGACTGATTCAGTCGCATGACTCCTGTAATACTGACCGCAGTGTAATAAGGAGCAAATCAAATATCTTTCATTTGGCCATCAGTTTCTCCTTGAATCTCTGTTGGTCGATTAATATGTTGTTGATTTCTAAGGAAATCTTTCGTTCGACTTACTATATAAAGAAGTTGAGACTTCCTACTGGCATAACTCAACCTCACCTCTTCTCTTACAATTTATTAATGCATGTATTCTGCCCATTCTTCTTTATTGTTCGTCCCCCCCCTTATTATTCATTCCCTAGACTTCGCAAAAAAGACTATATCATATTAGGTAGAACACTGAAGGCTGTAATTAGGATTACTGGTGTGCCTTTGACTAAGCTAACTGACTAATTACTGCTGATAGGCTTTTCAATTCTTGCAAGCAGTTAGCTTAAGTTTTTTGTGGTTTTTTTAAAAAAATTTTTCACAATTTTATGTATTTATTGTATATTTATGAAAGGAGCCAAATTGTTGCAATATGTATAAAAACGCTGAAAATTCCACTCTGTATGATCATTATTATTATTATTATTGACCGGTAGACGGTAGGTGATCAATAGATGTGCATCATTAAATTAATATCTATAAGGAGTTCTATTTTGTTTCATTTGATTGGAAGCGGTCACCAAATGTGGACAGAAGAAGTACCTTTAAAGATACCTACCTATTGCATTCCGTCGAATCCTTCGAACCCGCCTTATACACATAGCCGAAGCTATGGAAATTTGAAAGAACAATCTTACTCTTTGTATACAAAAGGCGTTTATTCTATCTTTGTTTGTTTCCCTAAACGAATTCTAAACTAAACGAATTCTGACTTAAAACTTTCCACGGTTCTACATCCTCCCTTTGACAATCATACTGGTAAGTGTGCATGGATTCGTCAAGACAATGTCCTGCTCGGTACAGTCTACGTATTTAGCTCAACAGATGCAAGTGAATTGGTAAATACAATACACTGAAGTTGCCAACAGCGGGATCTTGTCTTTCAGGTTCTGATGTATAATAGCACGTGTAGTGAAAGTGAGACGTAGAAATGCAGCAAAGAACGCTCTATGAATTGCTCTCGACATCCACTTTGATTTAATTTATTACTAAAATGACAATAACCTTTAACCTCTGTTTTCAATACACATTGCAGATATAAAAACACCTTAAATAACTCTATTGTACAGCTTTGAAGTGAATTTACAGAAAGAGAAAATCTCTCTGCGGTATTTGTTAATGACGACACGATATTTTTTTAATGATTTTAAAGTAATCTTTACTAATCTTTGAGCCGTCTCTGGCGTAGACGTGATATCTGGCTGGCTGTCGACCAAAGGGCGTGTGTACTGCTCAGCAGTTCACTCTGTCCTCCTTTATGGCTGTGAGACCTGGCCATCGAAAGTGAAAGACATGAAGGTCTGGCTAGCTGGCTTTAGTCAACGGTGTCTGCGTTTTATCCCCCATGTTAGGTAACATGATACGGTGAATAGTATCAAGGTCAACTGGCGGTCAAGTTCTATGTTGAAACTCGTCAGTCAAAAAAAAGATCAAAAAGTGTCTACAGAAGGGCTGATATGTATAAGACAACACCACAACAGAAATGTAAATATAGACCAAGTCGCATACACTAACCTTTTGTAGTGTAATATCAACATTTCTATCATAATGATAACCAATCGTTGGAATTGGTCGGCATCGTTTACGACCAGTAATACTGGAAGTCGAGTTAGTGTGACTATTCAATGATGTATAATAATATAAGGCATCTTCTAGTGTACGATACCAATTTTGTTTCTCTTCGACAATAACACGATCGGCTTCATCAATCACCTAAAGTAAGTAATAATAATAATATTAATCGTCTTCGTTGAACAAACGGATATTTTTCAATTACACGAATAAATACTAACAATATGATGTATTAATAGTATTTAAAACAAAAACTTCGGGCATTACAGAAATCAAGAAAGTACGCCACACAAACTAGTGGGATGAAACAGCTGGCTGTCCAGTACTCCAGTGCTGATTTTCCAATGGTTCTCTAACCAATGTCAGTTCATGATGAAATCCTGTCAATAGTTAAATCCATGCCAACCAAAACTTGAATATTAATCTGTTTACTCACTAGTGACTAGCTCTTTATGTGGGTAGGCGGTTACCTGGGTTCTGCTGAGAAATCGTGACCAGTGGGGTCCATCGACCCTGTCGGGAGTGAGGACAAATACTCGCCAGCGATGACACTGGCTAGTGTCAGTCGCGGTATATCATGAATTGGTAGAAATTGGAATTCATGGACTTGCCATTGAATGGGGTCCCAGGGGGTTACCAATAGGTCGTGGGTTCGAACGTCGGTAGGTTTTGCGAGGGCTGGGACGGCCAAATCGAAGCCAATGGTTGCCTTATGGGACCACCTCTTCCCCAAGCCTTTGACTTCAAGTCTGATCCAAAATTCAGTGAGGCAGTGTCAGGAGCTACATCCCCAGGATCCGGGTGACCTATTTGATAGGTTTGGATTCTAGAGCTCATGTACATCACAGGTTTGCAATTATATCCCCCAGGTAGACCTACATATTCACCAATCCGGTTGTAGGCGTCAGACGTTTTTATTTGCCCTTTCACTTTTGTGAAGAACACCCCTGCCCTGTGTAAGTAGTGAGTGGGACTTAGTAATCTGACAGAGGCTACAGACGCGGGGGTATATGAGGACATTTCGAGAAGAAGAATAAGACCAAAGTCTACCCATCTTCGGCTGAACCAATGTCTTTTATAGGACTGTATGATGTTTATCACAGGGAACAAATACAATTTCATCAAAAAGTGTTTAAACTCAAGTGGTAATACCAACAAGAAACCATCATTAAATAACACAAGAAAATCCACTATACCAAATATACCAAAAATATCTCTGAAATAAGCACAGAACACAAGCCAACCAGCACAATCACTTCATTCAATATTGTGTACACAAAAAAAAGACCCACAGAATAGCGAAAGATAATACCAAAACCATTTATAAAATAAATTGTATGAATTGTGATAAACACTACGTTGGTTGAAATGGGCATCCCCTTAGAATCCGAACCGAAGAAAACAAATTAGCTGTGATGAAAAGACACTGTATTTATTCTTTCATATCGATGCATGTGTAGACGATCATGGACACCAATTCGATTGGGAGAGTGTACAAACTTTCAACAGAGGCAACACCAAAAATACTGCCAGGGAATTTCTAGAAGCTTGGTACTCAGAAGAATTAGCAATTAACAAACACATTACTATAGACGAAATTTACCAGCTAATAAAAAGTAAATCACATGTGACAAAAAAGTTCAAATTCCAGATCAATAAAAATGAACAACAAAGATGTAAATTAATAACCAATCACGACAATGGTTGTCTGTTGGAAGACAGAGTTATATCATTCATGGGGAATTTGACATAAGTTCATCTCATACAAAAACCTGCGCTGAAGATATGGTCTACTAGGTCAACAAAAGCTTTGCAGTAAAGCTAACCAGCTCAGAGAACCCAAACAAATCTAAAACACAAACACAGCCTCACATCTTTTGGTATGAATTCCTTGGATATCACCTGATGAACTCTTAAAGTATGCTTTGTTGATGATTTGTCATTACCAATGCAGCTTTCACCACGAAGTAACATCAGTTAGAAAACCAATGAAAATCAAGAAGCACTGTTAGACGTCTATTTCACTCTGGTATGGGACTCTTCAGTAGTGCGTAGTAGTGACATCACCAGCCGTTGAATCTGGAACCTACACGTTAAGAAGCCTGTCCTTTGATCATACATTCACTGTATTTGATGGAATTCAGTGATCGGATGTAACGGGTGAAGACAAGAGACTTGTTAACAGACTTCTTTTTATTAAGAAAGAACACATCATATTTATACATTTTTAGCCACATTTAAGGTCAGTCAGATCAGCAGATAATGAACTGTTCTGATTGCTTGTCGACTTTCTGATGGTTAAACGTTGAGGCGAACAGTTGCCCAATGAGATTATTTCGAGACCACAACGTAAACTAAATTCAGATTTGGGGAATAAACACAGACTTCTACCTCTATACCAATTGGATTAAAATGTTGTTTACAATTATCTCTACTTTCTATCAATCTGCGTCTATATCTTACTGAAAAATTCTGTCAGTAGCGCAGGCCACAATAGCTCTAAAAAATCTCACTACATGTATTAAAGTGAGTAGGAAAATGGAGTCTGATAATTCCCTTCCTATTCCCCCCTTGTCATTCTTTCTTTTGTGTTAAATTTATACTACTTATCTTTAGTAAGTAGTGTAAGTTGTATTTGTTAATTATTAACCATGTCCTTACTTGCTATCGAAGTTCAACTCAGCCGACGTATTATTAATCTATTAGATGTATAATAATTATTTTCTTATAGTTGAAAATTATTTGCTGTATATGCTTTATTCGCGTACCCATTAATGTTGAACATTGTTTATCCCCATCCCTTTATTCTGTGTGTTGCGTTGGTGCGCTGTTTAAGTAACACGTGGATCGCCTTTTTACACAGCTCTACTATTTTTACCTGTTGACGCACATTGACTGTGCTTTTGGCGGCAATAAGCCACAGACACTTCACAATTTAGGTTTGTATATTATATTTCATATTTTATGTTTAATATAATACCATATTTTAGAAAAATCCTGTTTTCGGATTTAACGCGTCACTCAGCGTTTGGTTTTATTAATCGTTTGATTAGCGTCCTGAATTTCTTGTGGAAGAAATTCACATAGTCATTATCTATCTGTTTATTTTATTTCTTTGCATTCCATGTGGAACATATGGCTTCAAGCTAGAGCTTCGAAGTTTCAGTAAATGTAGTGTTTTCTTTTACGGGATAACGTGGTTGCTAAGCTCATGCCTAACTTGCCCTCTTTGCCGGAATTCCTACCGACAGAGAGATTTCGAAGTGTAACTCCATTATAGATAAGATTTTATTTTGATAAATCACACAGTGTATTGTACAGTAATATTAGCTGATGACCACGTTTCGAGCACAAACTATTGCCACACATAATCATATCAAGGCACCACTCACAAACTTTTCACTTCGTTTATATACATGAATGGAATTGATTAGATATTTGAATAAAAATCAATATGGAATAATGTACATTCAGAAATAATAATACGGGTGTTATTGATCAATTACAATCAGATGGGAAATAAGACGAGTGTTTTTATAGTCATAATAAGTTACTTGTTAGAATGTTGTGATTTACTTGAACTGAAATATAATTTTAAGATCATTTATTATCCTCTTCTGATTCGACTGACTGGTGGTAATAATATCTTCTATATTTCCGGTATTTGCATTGAGTCATCTCTATTGCATGTGTTGTGTTGGGTGTGTAGACTCTATGAACCAGGCGGGATTCAGTAATCAATCCCTCTCTCCACCTACCTAGATTACTTCTTAGAATTTCAACCTTCTCCCACCCTTTTGTGTGGTTGTGTGTCAATGTATGGAGTGCGATTGCTGAGCTCCTTTCTAAATTACTTATCTTCGCAGGGTCAACCATTCTTACCTTAGCTAAATGCTTATGTTCTCTGACAGGCAATCTCACTACTCCTGATCTACTAGTTTGACCCATATAGTTGACCTCGCTCACAGTCATTGCAAGGTATTTTGTGAATTATATTATTTTGTTTAATTGAGTCCACCGGGTCCTTTAGCCTACAGAGCTTGCCCTTCCTGAGTGAGTTTGTAGATTTAAATGCCACTCTAATTCCTGCTTTATTAAGAATCCTACGTAGGGTCTCAGATGACCCCTCCTTATATGGTAGAAGTATTGTAGAAGCCTTAGATTCTCCCTTATTTGTGTTATCATAACTAGTTTCATCATTATTTTTACTTTGCTTTTGACCATTTTTGATATTCCTAGTGAATTTTATTGTATAGTTAGTTGGTCAACACCAACGCCTCTTCTAACTGTTTCATTTCGTCGTTTAGGTCTTTTTTGTGCTACTTAGTGCTATTGCTCGGTTTGTTAAACACTTAACTAAGCCTGCCTTAACAGTTAACGGATGAGATGAATTAAAGTCTAAATATCTATTAGAATGCGTTGGCTTTTTATAAACGCTAGTGTGGAGTTTACCTTCTTCTGTTCGTTTTATTTTACAATCTAACATCCTAGCTAATTCTGATTGTTCATTTTTTGAATCAAATGTAGATTGTATTCCTTTCACTAGTCAGTTTATATGCGCGATTATGAGCAATAGTTTGTGCTCGAAACGTGGTCATCAGTTAATATTACTGTACAACATTGTGTGATTTATCAAAATAACAAATCTTATCTACAAGTTTCATACTTAGATTAAGAAGTGCTTCGGTCGGGGATTCCTGGGCAACACCACCAACAGCAACAATAACAACAAACAACGATCAGCATAAATGAGAGGAACCTGAAAGAAACAACCTCTTTTACCTACCGACCTGGGAAGCATCGTTTCAAATACAGGCGGAACTGACGAGGATATCAAAGCAAGAATCGGGAAAGCAAGACAAGCTTTCATTACTCTCAAGTCTGTGTGGAGGTCAACAGCACTACTCAGCATGAAAATGAAAATAAGATCCGGATTTTCAATTCAAATGTGAAGTCAGTGCTGCTCACTATACGAATCAGAGACTTGGCGCGTCATAAAGAGCATCTCAAACAAACTACAAACCTTCATTAACAGTTACCTTCGCTCAATACTCAAGATCAGGTGGCCAGAAAAGATCAGCAATAGAGATCTCTGGGAGCGAACCAACTCAGCAGGAACCGATGGAGATGGATTGGCCATACTCTGAGGAAACCATCAAGTGACATCACTAGACAGGCCATTGCTCGAGTGGAACCCGAAAGGGAAGCGGCGAGTTGGTCGTCCAAGGGTGACTTGGAGGACGTCATGTGAAGAGGAGATGAAAACGTGTGGGCAGACTTGGAGCCAGGTGAAGACTCTAGCAGAGAAGCGAACACAATGGAGACGTACGGCTGAAGCCCTATGTTCCTCTAGGAATTAAAGGAAACAATAATAATAATAATCGGTAGGGGGTTAAATCCCAAGTCACATTCATGATTGATGAATATATATAAAACTTATATTCTTATAACATCTAAACATACCAAAATTCGTAAACGTTCCATACTAAAACCCGACGTATTATACAAATGATCCACTAAACGTCCAGGTGTAGCAACAACAATATCCACTTTAACAGTAGGATTATCCGTTGACCTATAAAATACAAAAAATAAACAGATTTACATAAAATTACAAAGTTGGAAAATTTTTTTTAAACCTTACGAATCAATAATCTCTTCTTGTTCTTTAGTAAAACTTTGAATACCAGCGAGAAGAGCAACCTAAAGTAGTTAATTTATTTGAATAAAATATGAAATATTTTTTTAACAAACCTTGATATCTGTTCCTTCAATAAGTTGATTAAGTGTTTTACATACTTGTACAGCTAAATCTCTTACGGGAACAATGATTAGTGCTCGAATGAATTGATGTACTCTGTTCAGCAGTAACTAACAATGATCAGAGAGTAAAATAAAATACCTACTTGAACAATTGGAATTGCATACGCCAGGGTTTTACCACTCCCGGTTGGTGCACATATACATATATCTCTTGGACGACATAATGGTCGGCAGTTAGATGTGTAATAACTGTTCATTATGTAAGGAATCACTGCATATTGAACTATTATTAAATAAAAGAGGTGAAATAAGCTTTAGATAGAAATAATAATAATTTACTTTATTCCAAAAACAGTACTTGTGATACAAAATGGAATTTTTAGCATTAATTACAATACTGCATCTGATTTCCTCAAATTATCAATAAAAATTAGTCACACAGAAAATTTTCCACATTTACAATAGGGGTAATGTCAAAAACATGCAGCATATAAAATGGAAATAATAATAATAATAATGATAACAGCTAAAGTAATAATAATAGCACAAGTGGAAATTGCCGTGGGCTTGTTTCACACAGTATTGTCGATGCAGTATACAAATCCCTGCATGATTAAAAATATTGAATATAATGTTCTCTTTACATGATATAGTGAGGGGAAAAACAAAGATTACAGCAGTCATAGAGATAAGTTGGTGTTTGCAGTTATGAAAGTAAAAACGAAGGAGCAACAGGACCATAAATATAATAGAAATAATAAAAGTAAAACTTGGAGGTATATAAGGATGGATGGAGGAGATTGTTTATTTACTAGATGAAGAAAGGTTGGTCAATTCTTGCCTGACGCTATTTTCATTACATAAAATACGTGCCAAGTATGGTATTATAGAATTTTTATACTTAGACGTGCGAGCATACAGTTTTCTGAAGTTGCTTCTTGTTCTACTTGAGGAGATGCAAGGTGAAAGCTGAGGGTGAAGTGGATGCTCCAAGTCAGACAAAATCCCTCTAGCAAATTTATTGCACGAAGTCAAATGCCTATCGACAACGACGTTAACTATGTAGTCCACTGGGACACCACTCACCCCCTACTGACAGTCTTCAGCATTCTACGAATTGTGACATAGTCCTTTTTAGGCAAACCAGGAAAGAATAAGGGTGAACAATAAAGAATAGGTAAGATGCAAGAGTTTATGAACTAACTGTAAGAGGAGGGGTTGAGTTATACCCAAGTGCCTTAACTTCTTAGTGTAAAATGTCAGGCGGAATATTTTACTGGAGATCGCTGAGACATGGGAAGACCAGGAGACATTAGAAGAGAGAATAAGTCCAAGATACTTACCAGGAAATAATTGACTAATGCCCATTTCATAAAGACGTGACTGTATAGCTGAATTAATCTTTAATACTTTATCACTGATAGGATGACAGTGCTGTAAATCAGCTGGAAATTTTTCTGAATTTGTAATCCAATATGGAAGAACCTCTTTCACCTTAAACAGAAAAACAAACAAACCAGAAAAGAAATACAATAATTGAATAATTCTCATTGTAACATTATTAGAATACAATATTCACTGAAAAGATTCTTTTTTTTCTTCAATAACGAATTTATTATCAAGTTGAACGAAGTGCATTCCCTTGCTTGATGCGTGTGTGTCTCTCCTCAGTAGACGCAATATAATGAATGATCTTTCAAAAGATCCCATCCACACCGGAAATGTACACGGAATGGATAAGTAGCTAAATTTTATAGTTGGGTGCCACCTATCTCCAGGATGAAAAAGGAACTTAATTCACTCACTCTGTTTGGGAATAGGAAAAATTTGTAGTAGATCTGACTGTGTTGACTTAGAATTCGCCTTCCCAAAAAGCTACACTCGCATAAAAAGTGGTTACCCCAACCGATTTATTGACAAAAACACGATAGATAAGTGGTTTGAACGGGTCACTGACTCAGTTCCAAAGAAAAGCATATTCATGAATTTGGAATTACAAATGACTTTCATCAGCCGCAAGTTATTCTCCATCTCTGTAAAAGATAAGCTCCCTTGTCTGAACGTCTCTGTGTGCATCTATCAGTTTACCTGCTCTTGTTGAACAAGGTACAATCGGCGTGGCCAGAGAACGCTTTCCACTCACGGATACGACAATATATCCCAGCATGGTTTTACAAGGCAAAAAGGAAGCGTGTTTGAAGCTCTATTCTAGAACACTTGATCGACTCCTGTCAGTCTACCAACCCTGACCATGAATCTTAAGATCGTCTATCGAATTTACACTAACTTTCCACGTTTTCTTCGTTATAAACTTCTAAAGACAGCGGAAGCCTTGACCATTGATGAATTGAAGCCCCAGACCTTTGTGTACAAAAGAAGTATGTACAATCCCTACTTCTACCTTGGCCGTAGAGGGACAGACATTTATTTATTTATTTTGTTTATTTAGTTATTCTATGTACCCTTCCCTTATTACTACGATTATTATTGTTATTATTATTACTGTTCTCACTCTGAATTGTTTCCGCTTGTCCCACTTGTCATTCTAAATCCAAAATAATTTTTTTACGATATTGAATTCTATCTTATCAAATTCCACACCACGTTGTGCAACGGTTTATATTTGCCTACTAACTCTATAATTATACACCTTCTTCAAACATCTAAACAACCTATGAATTGTTCTGTATATGAAATTAATTGTTTAGCCAACTGACACTGACTATTTAACTGTGATTCTCTGTCTGTCTGGATTCAATGTAGAACTTGGCACCGAAGTTCAGCAGTTCCAGTTGCCACGTTCCAAATAGCACACAAAGGTAGACAAGAAAATGAGTGAAGAGAATCAATAGAGTTTTGACAAGTATAAGAGTGAAACAGAATGAGTAATGGTAGAAAGGAATATGAAAGATTACAGAGACTGAATACATCTGCGTGAGCCATTGACAACGATTTTGAGCCATGTCACCTATTGTCTCCAGCCATTGATTCTTAGAGTCCCGAGGGCGGGCCCCAACCCGGAAGTCTGAATCTCCCTACCTGACTCAGTTTAAATGTCAAGGATTTCATGGATTGATGCAACGTTTTTGTTTGGCCACCGCTTACTCTTTTCCAACCTGCACCTATATCAGCTGGTAATGCCCGTCGGGGGAGGCGATGGTTAGGCATGCGTAGCACCTGCCCTAGCCATCTCAATCTATGTAACTTCGATTGATTTTCTCTCTTTGCCCAACACTCTACGCCTAACGTCAACATTACTTACCTTATTATACCACCTAACGTGAGAAAGAGATCGTAGACATCTATGATCAAAAACAGTCAACCTTTTAACTATGATTAATAATCACAAATATTTTAATTGCATTTCATACTACCACTGTTATTATTTTATGTACTCAAACCTTTGTTCGAATTTCCTCACAAGATATAATTTCTTAATATATTATAAAAAACATACATATACGATTGTACAGCTTGATAATATATTCGTTTGGCATTTGCCAACTCACTCTATCTCTGGCTTAGCAGATGTGATGTCCGGCTGACTATCGATCGGACATGTGTAATACAACACACGAGTTCACTCCGTCCTCATAATTTATGGCTGTGAAACATGGCCATTAAAAGCGGAAATAATGAAAGGGCCGGCGAGCTGTCTTTCATCAAAGGTGCCTGCATTCTATCTCCCATGTCAGGCGGCATGATAGGGTGAGCATTATTGAGGTCAGCCTTCGGTCGAGTGGGAGAGAAAATCAATAAACGAGGTTGTGAAGCAGCTACAATAATTGAGACGGTTAGGACATGTGTTACACATACCTGCCTAGCCAAGTTGGAAAAGAGTTAGCTAGTGGGGGTCAAACCAAAACATGGGTTCATCAGTCAGTCAATCAAATCCACAACAATTAGTTTAAGCCACGTAGGGAGGTGTGCGCTTCCTGGTTGGGGTCCTTGAGATGGTAAACACCAGTGACTGGAGACAATCGGTGATATGGCTCAAAATCGTTCTCAGTGATGGCGCAGATGCATTCATTCCCTGTTTGTGATTTATGATATCCAAGAAAATTCTATTGTTCTTCGACATTACTATTCTTTTTCCCTCACACTAATGTGTGTTATCTATCTTCTGATGTTACTCTCTTTACTCTCTGCTCTTCTTCTGTGTGTTACATAGAGGAAAAGTGGCGACTCGAACTGCTGCACATCTGTGCAAATTTCTATGTTGAAACCAGTGAGTCAATCAATCAGATAATAAATTCGTTGAAACGAGTCTCTTCGCTGAATATTTTGTTCTTAAAAAAATAGAAATCAAAATCCAAAAAAATAAAAAGTGCATTACTTACATTTGATATTTTTGATTTGGTCTTCTCACCGATTATTGTAAATCCACCAATAACGTTATCTACAGTTGGATTAGCATTATCACTAGGAGTTTCAATAATATCACAGGACATGATCAAGAAGGCGTTGAAATTATCGACGTCAGCATATGCACACAACCTAGAGGTAAAAATGACACAGACAGACAACAGTCGTTAAAGGAATTTAGTGTGCAAAAATCAGCAACGGTAAAGAATATATATACCGAGGTCAATATATCTTGAGAACCAACTTATTGAACGAAAAATGAATCACCGTGGTAGGAGAAGAGCAAAGCATGTTTGGGTGCTGGGACTGTACGATATAAATCTTCGAAAAGGGTTGGGAGAACGCATTCCAAACAGAAGTGCTGATGTTTTATTACCACTATTACAATGACTAGTCCTCCCTGGCACTACCATTCACACAGACGAGTGGAGAGGCTATTCGCAACTATCATCATTAGGCTATATTCATCACAAAGTCAATCATTCCTCTGACATTAGTGGATTCTATAAGTGGAACCCATACAAATTCAATTGGAGGATTCTGGGTCCATGTACAAAAAACGTATTAGAATGGTAAATGGTTCCCGATATAATATACAGTATCCACACTAGTTTGATATGTCTGTAGACACTCGTATGAGGAATTGGGATCAATTTTTACAGCATATTAGAGACATATGTCCTGTATAATTCATTTTTATTATAAAAAATATTTTATGAATACACATTTTTATTCAATAAATACCGCCTTTCATCTCGAAAGATCTGATTGATTGGTCCAAGGTCGTTTGATTTTGAAGCCTATTCTTCTTTACTGTTGCCTGAAAATCTTTATTAGAGAAGTGGTTAGACAATTATACCTAGGAAATGGTAATAACACAGTTCAGTAGCCCAGTGTGATGCTGAGATTCTATTTTCCTCTCGAACTGATCTCACGTGACTATGCACATTCATAGTCTCTGCGAGACAAGTCCTATTCACTAACTTCACACGAAAGCGGTGTTCCCTATGAAAGTGGAAAGGTTACTGAAAACTACTGACACTTGCAACTGGATTGGTGGACATGCAGATCTACCCAAGGGGAGCTGGGAAACCTTGATTCCAAACCTATGACTGACTGGTTTCAACATAGAACTTTGCACCGATGTGCAGCAGTTCGAGTCGCCACACTTCAATTAGTACACAAAGCCAGGGAAGAAAGTAAAAAGAAATGTAAAATAGAGACAGTAAACAGAAATATGAGGCAAAAAGAATAGTAATGTGGAAGAACAATATAGTTTAAATGGGAACTATAAGTCACAAGGAGGTGGATGCATCTGCACTACTGAGAATGATTTTGAGCCATATCACCGATGGTCTCCAGTCTTCATTGGTGTTTACTGTCCCGAGGATACCAACCAGACATGAAGCCTACACCTCCCTAAGTGACTTTAACTAACTGTTGTGGATTTCATTGATTGATGAAATCATGTTTTCGTTTGACCACAACTGGCTTTTTCAAACCTCACCCTATGTTAGCTAACATTGCCCAGAGTCGAGGAAGGTGATCGATGGCTAGACAGGTGTGCGTAACACATACCCTAACCATCTCAATTAGTGTAACTTCACCGCCTCGTCCATTGATTCTTCTTCATTACCTAACACTCGACGCCTAACATCAATATTGCTCGCCTTATTACACCACTTCACACGGGAGATAGAACGTCGGCACCTATGATCAAAGACAGCTAGCTGGTCCTTTCATGTCTTCGAGTCTCAACGGCAAGGTTTCACTCACATCCATAAAGGAGGACGGAGCGGACTGATGAGCAGTACACACGCCTTTTGGTCGATAGCCAGCTGGATATCACGTCTGCGCCACACACGGCGTAAACTGGCATATGTCAAACTAACCTTCTGTATCCGTGCTGAGATTTCGCCTCCAAAGCCTCAGGATGGTCGGGGGTGGATGCCTTGCGCTGCGGGTTGACCACCCCTCCGCACACCTCTTGAAATGCTCCTATATGACCGGGCGTCTTACATAGCCTCTCCTGAGGAAGTCCTACTCACTGTCTTCACGTGGCGGAGGTGTTTTCCAGCAAAGTGAGAGGGCAAAAGCGGATGCCCGGCGCTTTTCACCGGGTTGACTGTCCATTGGATGGCAGTCTAGGGGAGATGGCTAAACCCTGATTCCAAACCTCCAACGACTGGCGTATGAAGCTCACTGGAGCTCACCGGCAGACGTATGGACAAAGGGCTTGTTGGATGTCCTGGATGTCTGGCCCCATTCAAAATGGCGTATGAACCGAACTCCGGTCACCGGCTGCCAATGGATAGTGGACTCCCTACTCCACTCCTACTGCCTTGTAGGTCACACTTGGTTGTGTAAAGGCTAGAGCTCTCAAACAAAAAGCCGAGCGATGCTGGGGACATCACTCGTGCCAAATTCCCATGAAACTTCATGAACTCCTTGCATCAGATCGCCGCGCCTGGGTAGCGATGATTCGAGATGTTCATCAAGCCGGCTCATCCTTCCGTAGGAGATAGCCGAAGTAAAGCTAAGAAAAGCTAAAGCTAAAGTGCATGGGTTCCAGAATCCAAAAAGATCGAATGATACATGAATTTGCATTGGACACCACCAATCACGGGGACGTAGCTGCCAATGCTGCTCCACTAACTTTTAGATCAGACCTGAAGTCAAAGGTTCGCGGAGGGGTTGGTCCCTTAAGACAACCACATGCTTCGGTCCGGTCATCCAGACAGTATAACAGCCTTGGCATTAACTGCGAGACTCTGTGTGGAGCATCTCTTGGCACCCATTATGTACCAAGACTGTTTTAATGATAATAATAAGCAGGTTTCGTGCCTAGACAAGGAGGAGCAAATCGATCGACTAAATCTTTACTTTCCAACAAGTTGAGAAACACAAACGTATCGGTTGTTTTCCCATATTTATCATGCTATTGGGAGTGAGAGCAAAACTCGTTTAGGCTGATTGACAAGTGTGGCGGAAATCTAGCTGTGAAGACAGCAGTGAAAAAGTATGCTACGCTAATTAAGCCGACCTGCTCCAACTCATCGAAGCACACAAGAACTCACAGTGTGTCATTTAATATGACAACAATCAGTGGTGTTTGTCGGAAAAGTATCTAACTATTCTCACTTATCAAGAATTCGACTTTTACTAGGAGGTAGGCTGTTTGATTTTCAGTACACTAAAACAATGTTCATTTGGTTGGAGAGGCTAAATGTTCCAAGAGAAACTAGAAATAAGTTTGGTATGCTTGGAAGGTACTGACTTCCAACTAGGAAAAATTTAGTGAAGTGATCTCTCACTTACATCAGCTCTAATTACCCCTGTGCACTAACGAAACCTAAGCACAACTGCAGGATTTTCACTTGACATATGAAAGGCACATATACCGCGCAACAATCTACCCTCTCTCTATCTCAATTCATGGTTGTAAGTCTGACTAAATGAAGAACACAAGACACTGCTCAAAAGTGCATCTATTCAAGCTGCCATAATCTGGAGGAACACATATTAAAGTAAAGATGAAAAGTGTAGTGAAACTAGAAAAGTTGAGAATGAACGAGATGGACATTAGTGAAATGAAGATTAGTGAAGAGCTTCACGGTCTGTATGACGACACATTAGGACCTTGATTCTACTATTTCGAGATCACGTAATACTGAGACTGCATCTCATATATATATATATATATAGTTTCACATTTCTCGACTTGTTACTTTGCTTCAGCCATCAGACGTATAGAGTGACACTACTGACCGAAGTTCACTTCTTCCTGTTCCTACAAATCGTTGGCATAAACATTCTGCACTTACCTAGCTATCCATTCATGAAGGTGGTATAGACCAACTTACGAATGTGCATGTGATCCACTTGAATGTGTTCCTAATTTTCACCTACGCTATCTCAACGGTCTAGACAATATTGACCATCCAGTCATCAAAGGCTGCTGCATCCCCGATTACTGACACTTCCCTCAGCCTAATATTTGGACTTATCCAAGTAATAACTTTCGTTTGCGTTATTAAACAACTGAATTCATCTGAAAGATATGCTATGCTGGCACAATGTATTTCAAACAATCTGATCACACGCTTACTTGACAATATAATTTGTATGAAAAATGAAAATAGATAATCTTGAAAGCTGTCTTCATATAATTTTTACGATTCTTATCAATATTTTTTGCTAAAGAAAAGGCTGATAATCTGTCTCCTGTCACTCAGTTACTTGTGAGTAACGCTAATTTCGCCTAATACGAATTTCAATGACATAGTCCATACAACCAAGTGACGTATATGTTGGTAATGCTTCTCTACTGCATGTCCGCTGATTTGGCCATCGACGCTTATTTAGAAAGACGACAAGTATTACCTGATTTTTCAGAAAGGATGACCAACTATTGTAATGGCTAGCAGGTAGGTAGCCAAATTAAATGAGGACACAATTTGTGGACTAACACATGAATTTATTTGCGTTATTCGTGTAGGTAATTCTACTAATCAGGAAGTGTACATAGTGGGCAAACAAATGTTTGGTTTGAACAAGGGATATACAAAATGATCTGAAAAAAATATGATGTTGTTTTGACTTCTAAGAAGAAACTACAAGGAAATTGTATTTATGTTTTCCATAGTATCTTCAAGTGCACTGCTTATATCAGGTTCATTAATTTCCCCAACTGCATCGTTAATAAAACGAAGATACTACGGTGAAGTTGCACTCATGACCATAAATTAGTAAATTCAGTAAACAGTTATATATATATATATATGGTGAACTTGTTGTCGATTTAACTTTCAGCACACAAAGAAGAGGTACTGGCACTTGAATTCATTGTCTCTATCCCACCAAAAAATACTTCTGATTAAGTTGTTGATTACTTCTGGTTTGAAAATCCCTATGGTCGAATGTGTCCCGTCGTTTCTAGCTCGACAGAGAACCACAGCTGGTTGAAGGCTAAATTAGTTTATACAGCACATCAATTTTGTAATTCAAGTCAAAAACAAGAAAGCATTTTCATTCATCAGCACTTCAAAGCTCTGAAAAAACTAAAACCTGACAGAGGATCAAGTGTAGTGATTATAAAACTAAAATGTAATTTATTCTAGATTGCAAAAACAAACTTATGGTGGATGCTTCATCTGATGACATCAGAAAATTAGAAGGTAGAATAACATGTAACCTAGTAAAACTTCGTAGCATATTACCGATAAAGATGAGATTAATTCACTAAAGCCCATGAGATCTGACTTTCCAAACCTTTATGGATTAACTAAGCGTACAGTGAGTCGGTGGTTCAGTGGCAGAGCACTAACCGACCACGCAGGTGGCCCGAGGTTCAATTCCCAGCCGACGCACTCCTAAACTCTGCTAAGCCGGTAGTAGGGTCGGTAGGGAGGAAAGATTGGAAGTGAGGCTAGCAACCCCACCACAGAAAATAAAACCACTGCCACCGAAACTTCAAAGATCTAGCTTGAAGCCCTATATTCCAGTGGGAATGTAAGGGAATAAAATTAAAAATTAAGCCTATAGTTTACTCTATTCCTGATAACGATCTCCGCACTGAATCGCATACAATGAGAATTTTAAGAGAGATTCAGTTTTGCCATCCGTGATACTTGAGGTGCAGTTTGGATTAATGTTATGATCAGGAAAGCCAATACCATGCTCTACCACAAACCCTAGCATTGCACAAGTCATTACGTCACATTCTACATTGTATGCTAATTTAAATGATTCTGTGAACAAATATAATAAGAACAGGAATCATGCTTCATACGTGAGGATGAAACAACAAATAGCCAAATGGTTTGAAAAACAGTTAAGCTAAAAAACCTTGCTTAACGTAGGTGCTATGCTATCACTCCTGTCTATGGCAGAAATACATTGGTGATATGAATCAAAAGAGTGACATCAAAACAGCTTTCAAGATAATTTATTTCCATTTTATATGCAAACTGTGTTATCAAGTGTGTAATCAAACTGTTCAAAATATGCTGTGCGACAACGATGTACTTTTCAGATGAATAGTTTTCTTTTATAACGTAGTCAAAATTTATAATTTAATGCATAGATGTCTAAATATAAGGCTCGAGGTGTCGGCGATCAGCAATGCAGCAGCCTAGCTGACCGGACGGTCAATACTGACTAGACTACTGGGATAACGGGGATGAAATTCAGAACGACATTTAAATGTTTATGCGAACAGCATGTAGAGAAAGGAAGGAATGAAGTTCGGCCCATAGTATTACCCCAGCCATTTTAAGGATGAATAAAAATAAAATGCTAAAATCGTGAAGAAATGCAAAACGGCATATATACTGTTCTATAACGTGTTCTTTACCTCGCTAAACCAGAAATAAAGCTGGTGAAGAGGAAAGGTTCGGCATGAGGCTAGCAACCCCATCCTGTAAAACAAACACTGCTACAGAAACTTCAAGCCACTAGCTTGAAGCCCTATGTTCCACTGGGGAACGTGAAGGAAATAAAAAAATAACGTGCTATATAGCATGTTATATTTATAAAACATAATTGCCAGTTTCTTAAAAGTTTGTTGACTCACAAGTTAAGTCACTTCGTTTACATGAACTCACTGTAGTTTATAAGATTATTAGGTCATTTCAATTAAGCAGGAATGGAAATGAAATTGGGAAAATAACCGGATACGACTTACTGCTTACATTTTTACTTTTAATCTATGTTGTTTTATTATTATTGTATGGCGTGTCCTCTTGGTGCCATACTGTACCAAGCTTTTTCGCGTTTAAATAAATCAATAGTAAATAACTGCATAGATCGTGATCAGTCTTTATAATTAATATTAATTTTTATTGTGCGCGTATAAATGCATCTTACTAAAGCCTATTTGGACTGATAAATTTTAAAATTTATGTATAGTTTCCTGTTATCGAAAATGCTTCGAAGAATAGTAAGTGTTAACGCTAGTTAACAAAAAACATTAGTAAATTTGGGCTGAAATTGGTGTGTTCCAGGATAATTTTTGGATGGGGTTTTTATACAAGCCGTGGATGAACTTCATTGAAGGGAATCAAAAACGGAGTTTTTCACATATTCTAGAAAAATTGCACAATATAATCCCAAAATATATTTCGTGGGTGGACCTATTGTATACTACTCTACACCACTTCTGACTAAGATATGTGAAATACCAGGCTGGAATAAAATATAAAAAAATGTTCTAAATCGCTTACTAATGTAAATCGTCAAAATGTACAGAATTGGACCGAAAGCATAGAGTAAATAGCAAGCCACTTACTAGATTGGCGTGTCTAAGGTATTTGACCTTGAAAAACAAAACTCCCACCAGATTCTCCCACCAGTTGTATCCAGATCAATATTTCCAGATTCAGATTCAGATGATAAGGATAGAAGGCTCTTGTGGCCTGTGTTAATCCTTGCAAAATATATCTCTGCAGAGATCTAACTTCTCTTTGAAAGCGTTCACCGATGGAGCTGAATCAGGTAAGGAGTTCCAGTCGTTGACCACTCTGTGAGAGAATCTAAATTCTGCACGTATTTCAATCGTCCTCGGTTTGAGCACCTTTTCGCGGTGACCCCTTAAATGTATCCTAGAAGTCGAGAAAATTTAAGAAAGGTCAGTTCCTAAATCACCCTTAAGTTTACAGTATGCTAAAATTAATTCGCTTCTCTTCCTTCGGCATGATAACGGGAAGAGATTTAAATGCTCCATCCTCTTATCATAAGGAAGGTGTGAGATACCACCAACTAATTTGGTTCATACTCTTTTTATTCATTCTTAGATATGTCCCTCCTTCTTAAAACATGGACTAGCCGCTTGTATGCAGTATTCTAGATGAGGCCTGAGTTGCGTAGAGTATGTGGAACATGCCGTCATCTAATCGTTTGAAAGCCCTTCGAAGCGTCCATAGCATTCGAAAAGCCTTAGCTGCGGCTGCATTGCAATTTGCACTTGTTCTCAAATCATTGCTGACAATGATTCCTAGGTCCTTCTGTTCGTTAACATCAGGTAGTTCTGTGTCCCCTAGGGAGTACGACGTATAAGACTTCTGACCTAAGAGCATTACTGCGCTTTTCCTAGAATTCACTTCCAAACTCCACAGGTTCGACCACTCAGCTAATTTATCTAGATCAGTTCGTAGGGCTGACCTATCCTCGTTATTATTTACAGTTCTCCGTATCTTAATGTCGTCTGCAAATAACAATGAAGATAAAGTAAGAATCCCCGGTAGCTCATTAACGTATAATATGAATAGCAAGGGGCCTAATACAGTTCCCCGAGGCACTCCACTGGATACTGCTTTCCACCCTGATAGTACACCGTTAACTCTAACCTTTTGCCTTCTATCCATTAGGTAGTCCCAAAACCACTCACACAGGCATTGGTCTAGTCCGAAACCTTTAAGTTTACTAAAGAGACCTAAGTGGGATACTTTGTCGAATGCCTTGCCAAGATAATAAAAACCACGTCCAACAGAAGGTTTTTATCTCTGGTCTCGACCCAGTCTTCCCTAACTAACAATAAGTTTGTCAAGCAGGATCGTCCTGGTCGGAATCCACGCTGTTCAACTGCCAGAAAGCCATGTGTTACAACGTAAGCTAATAGCTGATCCCTTATAATAGTTTCCATTACCTTTGCTATAATGCATGTCAGACTTACCGGCCTGTAGTTAGATACCGATTGCCTGTCCCCCTCTTTGAAGATACGGCTTATAATGGCATCCTTCCAGCCTCTGGGTAGCTTAGCCTGGGTAAGCGACATTTGGAAAATCTCAGCAAGCGGAATATATATTATATCCGCCAAGGAAATTTACAGTTTAGGGTGAAGTCCATCAGGCCCAGGTGATTTACTTGGCTTCAGTTTAGACAGTAGTTTGAGGACCTTTGTGTGCTCAACCACAATTGAGGGCATCTGAGTGGCGATGGCAGTGACCTCGCCATATCCCTGGGTGGTACTATCAGACGAGAAGACGTCACAGAAGTATTCAGAGAGGTTTTCAGCCTTTCCTTAGTCTGACTCAGCCGCTTCTACACTAATGCTTATGAGTGATGGTATACCATTGCTAGTTTTAGCCCTATCTTTAATATACGAGTAGAGCCTTTTTGGGTAATGAACACAATCTAGTACAAGCCGTCTCTCGTACTCTATACGACTCTTGTTAATCGCATACTTACAGAGATTTTGAATTTTGCGGTAGGCTTTCTGGAAACTTTCCCTTCCTGTCATAATAAATTGGTCCCATAAGTTCTTTCACCGTCTTAATAGCCTCCTTATTTCGCTAGTAATCCAAGGTGGCTTGTGCGATAGCTTTCGAGGAATGTACCAAGGTATAAAAGGTGAAGTGACACAGTCTAGTGTATTCCTAAATCCTACCCAAGCTTCCTCGACAGTCCGACTTGTATCTACTGACCAGTCAACTGCAGTTGCTGAGTTCCGGATTCCTTGCATATCCGCTTTCCAAATGTTTGGACAGGAAGAATTTGACCTGTGTATGAGAAAATGAATCTTAAACGTAAAAGCAATGACTGTTTGCTCACTGCTGCCAAGCGGCGGAAGGCACCTAATGTTACCAACGTCCACTGTCAAGGAACTTAGCCCTAAGTTCCTATTGTAATGAAGACGTCTTCGTTTTGAACCGATAAATACTATGTATATGTTTCAACTTTAAATCCAAAACAACAGTATTCCTTGAACGAAATTATATTGTTTGGCAATTAAAGCGAGACAAAATACAAAGTCTACAAACAAATGTTAGGTACAAATGAAGTTACAAAGTACTTTTATTCGTATTCGTTTCCGCCTTCCTTCAACTTGCAAGCAATCGAACCACTCGCGCCTTCGAGTTGCCCACCAATGGCTGCCAGTTCTAATAAACAAACGTTCAATGTTCACGTCCGTTGACATCCTCCTTCTGGTGTGTTAATACCAAGTCCAGAGTATGTTGATCATGTTCCGTGTGATACCGTGTTGGTGCATGCATATGTTGCACGGGTACACATTCGAGCACTGTCAATGTGAGCTCCCTATTGAAACAGGTATACAAACTAGTGGAGTTTAATTCCTCCCAAATAATGTGTGGAGCATTAAAGTCGCCAACAACCAGACACCTATTTCTACTACCCCACGCCCTCAAGTGATTTAGAACGAAGTCATCAGGTCGACTAGCAGGACTTCTGTAAATAACTCAGTTCGTTAAAGCGACTTTGTTCAAGTTAATGACGCTACTTGTGGCTTCACTGGTTCCGCTGTCATGAGCTTCTGACAACGTTGACCTAATCCCTATGTCATCGCGGATGCATAGAGCAACCCCGCCACCCTTCCGACTACTTACTCTATCTGCTCGAATGCAGATGTACCCAGGCATGAGTGGAGTTAAGTCTACACCCACTAACAACCATGTCTCAGTGATAGCAATCACATCAGGTTGTAGTTTTTCAGATAACTCTCCTAATTCGGTGAGCTTATTCCTAAGACTACACGCGTTCGTATAGCACACCGAGACACCTACGTGTTCATCCGGCTTATGAAGAGAGGTCGCAGCAGCATCGGTTTCCGAGACCTCACCACCCAAAAACCCAATAGCTTGAGGTCTTTTTCGCCTTCCTCTAGCCGGGCCTTTAGTTCAGCCACGGCTACTTTTCTTTTGAGTCTATCTTCTAAAGGCCAATCAGGCCTTATTTTTAAACTTTTATCAATGATTTTGAACGCGATGTTGAGGATGGTGCTTCCCTCTGTTTCTTTCCCTTAAACTATCTTAAATACTCGTTGAGAAGTTTCCGCAGCATAATGGTTTCGTTTTCCGATCCTGATGGCTTTTCTTACGTGAACTCCAATTGTTTTTTCGGGAAGTATTTCCTGGATAATGGAGCAAACCGCCTTCAGATCACCTGCATGTCGGGCAGCTGGGTCTGCGTCCTTAGATTCCTCTAAATTCCAGATGATAACAGAGTAACTACAGCCCGTGGGTTTCTGAGCTTGGCTGGTATTAACAGCCGTCGAGACCTTGTTGGTGAACTGTGTTACTGTTTCTTTCCTACGTTTATTTTGCTTCTTACCTGTCGGCACCAACCAAGTGGAGTCAGTTTCTTCCACTTTGTTTTCACCGCGACTAGAAGCCATTCGTGCACTAGACACGCTGCGCTTTGGTGTGGCCATTTCACAGGCTGGTGTTGCAGTGCTGGCACTACTTGCCCTCTTGGATTTCCTTTGTCTTTTGCGCTTTGCCGCACCAGATATTTGGGTACTCTGTGCCTCTTTTGCCTCTGAAGCTTCAGGTGGTGATACACTATGTCCTGAACCGCCATTCTTGGCTAAGATTTCTGGTGCAGGCTTTTCGATTGTTTTTCGACAATTTCTTGGACATCAGGAGTCCTACTGCCAGGCTTTAGTATAAGTACTGGAAGACGTTTATCACACCTGGGACCTCTGAAGTGAGAAAGTTGTACACAGTCACCAGGAACAAAGCAGTTGGAGCAACTAGTCATTGATGGAGTTTGGAAAGCTTCTAGCTCAAAATTCAACAGCACAACCCAAAAAATATTTTTAGTACGTGAACCTTCAGGAATTTGATTCGTACCGAAGGGAATTGTGGATTTACGTGATGCTCACAAGGCTCCTGATGAACTTGGAAAATCGCAGAATCGATAACAACATGCTAAACTGGGTCGTGGAACTTCACATATGTGCTGTTTTGGGAAACAAATTCAGGTAGTGAGCATTTACTTTCCAAAAGGCAGTGGTGAACAAGTGAAATGGGAAACCTGGCCACACCCGATAAGGGAGTGCATCATTCAATAAAGAAGGAAGCCTTACAAATCATAAATAGTAAGTCCTTACTTAGCTGCTCGTCTCACCTCTCCAAATTCCCCAGCAACTAACTATATCTGAGTGGCTATAGCGTACTGTGCTATAAAGACCCTAAGATAGTTTTCCCCTAAGAAAATGACTTCACCAAAATAATTACAGAAATCACTGATCGGATTTCATTGACTCCATACACTCCTAACGAGTGATAGAATCCTGGACCCCAGAAGAAGAGGTGTTAGCATCCTCAATTGACAGTGCCCAAGAAGGGTCTAGGCGAGCACTGAAGAGCACTAGAAAATGACTAACATAGGCTCTACGATTTCCATCCCCAATCAATAAGTCTGAATCTAAATCTAAATCCAATATTCTATTTGTCCACTAGTTCCATTCTTCTTTCATACAGTGTGAATAATATGATTTAGTTCCTGTAGTTAAGCAGCAGTGAATATGATTGAAAGGAAAAAAGTATCTTAAGTGATATGGTGACTTGACAATTAGTTTGTGAAGCGACGATTCAATGGTTGA